AGGTACTTGGTTAAAGGGATAAGTATTAGGTAGGTACCTATACTTATTTTTTCTGACGTAAATGTAGTAACTTGAATATCCTAGATTCATTATATTGAATGAATAGTCTCATAGAAACTATAGTGATTACTGATTAATAATGTGTTGTGGCCGGTAGACGCATGTATCTTACTATATATAATACACAGCATTTGGTATTGTTAACGGAAGTGATGTACTGGTATTCAGACTTAATATAAAAATAATGGTATAACAATCAAACTCAGACAATAAGTACTATTTGAAAGCTCTTTTCACGTCCATGTAAGTTTATCTACATCAGCTTTACAAGTTTAACCTACCTAGCACTAACTTGTATATACTATCAGTCGTAAATACAACCTAACTTGTTACGCCCCAGTAATCAGCAGTTGGCGTAATATAATTATTTAATTACGCTTACTTTGTAACAGTTATCAATTAATACAGTACCTACGTTGACTTCGCCTGTTTCTGCTGCACTGACGCAAGCCTTTACTACAGCCTCAAAATAAATATATATACGTCATTCAGCAGCTTTTAGCTAATCAAAGCCGTATACCAAGCAAGACTACCGAGAGCTATGTAAGTTCATGAGACCGCGGATTCGCTCCTAGGGCAGAGCGTTATATTTTTGCCGTTTACAGAATTCTTCAACTCAGATTTCGTAGTTTGTCTGGTAAATGAGCTCGTAACTGAGTGTGTATCGCAACCTACCCTTTTGGGAAATATGTTATGTCAATATATTGTTACTGGGTTAAATATGAATATGAACCTGCTAAGCTGGGTCAGTGTGTTTCCCGCCTACTAAGCCGGCGCCGGCGCAGCTATCAGCCGGCAAGCGTTCTCGGTGCAAAATATGTATAATTAAGGGACAAACAAAACAAAGCACTTTATCAATCAATTGTTTGTTTTGAAATGTTTCCTATATTATTATATTGTTGCCATGATAAATAAGTAGGTACGTATGATTCTGTTAGTCAAGATAAAGTAGTTATACGTAATTCGCTATCTATAAGATCTCAAAAATGTGTAATCAAACTTATTTTTCCGAAATGGTAAATATGGCCCAGGTAAAGATAAGGTAAATAGTAACCAAACTATTTTCCTACGTCAGGCACCAAAAGGTGTCAATTGCACGTCACCGACTGGATAACAACCTGTCTTCCTCAGAACCTCTAAATATATATAGTTATTTAGGAAGGGCCCACTAACTCATGTCACATTTACTAACTACAATATTTAGATAGATCTGATGACATTGGCTAGAGCCCGGCCACGATCTGCGCCACGTGCTGTTTTCGATGCAAGCGACGTACTTATATGTAACTATGTTAAATAAGTATGCACCTCTTTACGTAATGCGCTATAATAACATAAGGTTTATCATGGGTCGACTCATTTCAGTGCCTTGCAATGACACGCGACGCGGTCCGCTGCCACTTCTCCCTTTGTTGCTGTAAACATCAACATTATACTTAGGTTTTGCACATTACCGTTATAGACTATTTTTATTTCTCAATCAGTCTCGATTACCGCGAACAAAACCTTATTTATCCTTTTAAAAACGGTATTGCGTAATTCCTACTTTGTAGGCACTTACACAAAGTTAATTAGAGTTTTAGTAAAGCCTCAAAGCGTAACAACTAACCTTAGATATTTAGATTATGTAGGTATAGGTAGTGAGGACCTAGAAGTTCATAACTAAAGCATGGTAGATACATAATTTAATGGAAATATTCAACAACGCTATTTAATGTTTACATCACTTGTTACAATGTCACACTCTGATCGCTGTAACAGCACTATTAAGTCGTTTCATCCTAAAACTAGTGCTCACTCGACAAACAATAGATCATGAAAACAATGTCTAGTACTGACGCAGAGACATGCACGAGGCTCGACCCTGTGCTCGTGCAGTCCTGAGTCACCCGTGACGTGACGTAGACGTACTAAAGAAATTTTATTGAAATAAGGTTATTTTCTGTTGATAAATTAATTAGCCTAGTAGTCCTCTTTAACGAAAAAGGTCTACTAGGTCTAACTACTTCGAGCGTAGGCGTACGTACGTACTCAAAGAACCATCAGACCATCACGGATGGGGTCCAATAGGGCTGAAGCCAATACGCAGCCGCGGAGGACTTAACGGGTTGCTGGGGCTCCGGCTCGAAATGTAGAAGTAAGAACGGGATGGTTTTTGTCAGTTAGAGTCTCACACTCCCTCCCGCCTCACCCAGGCGGGAGAAGACACTCGATGAATTTCTCCCCTTAAAAAAGCTCTAACTACTTATTATAATTATACTAACCAGAACGGGTTTTTAGTACTGAGGTGCAATTAAAGTGCAGATTTTTTACCATTGTGGCATGAGTTTCATTTATAGCACAACGCGTCACAATCTCAGTTTCTGTATAACTAAAAATCAAACCTACAATCTAGAGCTGAGTAGTAAAGCTTGCAGTCATTCAACGCACAAGGTATAAAACAATAACAAACATCGAGATTATATTAATATTGCAAGGGCAAAATGTGACGTATGAATGTGATAAAATATAATTGTGATGAATATATTATAAGGTGCGCCTTGCTTTCAATAGGGCAATATTTCTTATATGCCGAAAATAGGTTTCCCAAGGGCTTTTGACGCTTTAAAATGTGTAGATCGAATTAAATATTCCATATACTTCGTAATTTATTGGGCCAAAGAAACCCGTCCTCCAAAAAACTCCACGTGGAGTTGCTACCTAGGTTCAGGTTATCATTGTTATGGTATTCTTCACAACATACAAGTCAGTTAACCGTCTCGTACGAATTGTTTACACGTTGTCGTTGGTAACTCCTTATCATCTGGTCTTCTATTTGAGTCAAGTTCAGGGCTACAAACTGCCACGTGTAAGTTATGGAAGTCGTGACGTCCAATGTCCTTGTCGGCGTACGACTTTCAGAAGTACGGAGGCACAGTCAACAAAATAATTTTCGTATGATGTCTAATCATAAATACACACAATTATTATACTATACAGTCTACAGAATGCATTTAGTACCTAATTATGTAAGATTTAACATTTTATATTTTCACTCACAATCATTTCTTCGCTTAAAATATGTAAGTCATTAGTTCGAATAAAATATGTAAAACATTATAAGTAATTAGCAAACCCGGCGAACTCCGTTTCGCCACCAGATGGTTTCGTTTTATGTAATATTTCAAATTTTAAAAGATTTCTTCCTGAATTTTCTTTGCTATAAACATTACGGAGCCCGATACCTTTCCAACGAATGCAAAACCGTGGAAATCGGTTTGTGCGTTCTGGAGTTATAGCGTCAAGAAGGAAAACCCGACTTATTTTTATATAGTAGATTACATATAGATACTGGCTACAGTAGTAATAAGATCACACATTCTACCGCAAACCAGACGAAGCCGAATAAATCCGAAGCCACCGTCAAGCGTGTTTCGTATTACACATGCTAATCTAACAGCAGACAGACAATGGTGACAGTTGCAAGAACTGCACAATAATATTTGTTAGTTGCAGTTTTAGGGTTTCGTACCCAACAGGTAAGAAACAGGATTATTTATAATGACTAAGGCGACACTGTCTGTCTGTTACCATTTCTCATGAACCCTGATAGCTAGTCATTCACAAATAATCTACATCTAGGGAAGTTTCCGTAAAACCGTTTGTTGCTCGACTCGCATTTGGCCGATTTTTTAACACTCTAAACGAAACTGCAATCTGCACCCAAGAATATTGGGATGATGACAGGGTATGAAAATTAAATATCTAATTAGTCCGTAAGTTAGGTAATGAAAAAATATTATACACGTATTTTTTTATTTTGTCGTATAATAAAACAATACTTGGATAAAACGAATCAAAGTTTAGGAGTGAGGACTAAAACGTCATTTCTACGTATAAAATGTACATAGAAGTGACGTCACGCGACATTTTAAATCAGTATATCGTCGAAAGTATTCGTTTCTGTAAGAAAATAAAAAATACGTGTCTAATGATTTAAAATAATCTACCAGATGGACATAAAAATAAAACTTAGGCATCTACCCTATTGTCAATTGATTGATAACATTATAAGTCAATTGTCTCCTAAAATATATTCAATTCACGAAGGGTAACTTGAACCCTATTTTATTGAAATAAGGTAGTACCTATGGTGTACAGCGTAGGTACATAAAAATGTTATACCTATCTGCTTTCTCCACAATAAGAGATAAACACTTTAATCACAAGTTAATGGAAATATTAGCGCATATTAACTATTGGATTGCGATATTAGCGATAATCCGTTGACCGGACAACTGTTCACGCTTGGACCCTGATTATAAACCGGCACCGACGGCGCCACGCCACGAGCTACATCTCATTTAAGTAGTTAGTAATTAAATAATTTATTCTGTAACCTATGTTAATTAAAATTTAACTTTTTATTAATTATATTTAGGAATTAAGCAATAATACAAATCTAAGAAAAAAATATGTTATTTAAATCTAGGTATCTATTTATCATGTAGGTATTGATGTCATAATGAAATGCAACAATGTCACAATTTCTCCCCACAATGTCAATGCGCCTGCCAAACGTCCGGTTCATCCAAATATTACCGAAAAATATTTTCGTTTGTGATAAACTGAGATAACTCGGGGAAAATGAGATATTTGGAAATGTTTCGCGTAGTCATTGTTTGTGCTACAGCAGGTGATAGGTCTTTAGTACACTTGTGTGGATCTATACATACCCGCGATGTGTCCTCTGCAAGTACTTCCCCGGTATAGTAAATATATTTTGGCAGCAAAATAATTTATAAAGTAAAAACTGCAACATAGCTATATAATTAATAACATCAGATTCTGTAAATTGACTGAAGGGCAAAGTCCCTGCTGATAGTTAAGATAACTTCACTGATTTTTGGTAAATACATTATATAACAAGGTGATCTTATATTGCAGCATTGCGGTGCGTCATGGAGGACGACGTGACGTTCCTGTTCCAGCTGGGCGTGGTGCGGGACGCGGTGGCGGCGCCGGCGCACCTGCTCACACTCGCACACCTCAAGGATCTCGCCGTCAAATTCGTTCATGATAAGGTATTACAGTATTTTTGGTTGGTCATTACTTTAGATCTAGCTTACAGAAGTTAACTCTAGTTAAAATAGTTAGGAACGAGTTTTAACTTGTAATAAGCAAAAACTCATGGCTCATATATAACACCCTAATATATCATAATTATGTTTAGCCAGACCAAAATGAACATTATTTCTCGACGATGATAATGAAAAATTTTAAGCTAGGTAGATGTTTATCAAGGAACCGGTCCTTAGCACAAAATATTATATTATTTGAGTAGTTAATTTCTATTTATCTACGTAAAACATGAATAATTAACCATTGTTAATAACTAATTAACTAAATTAAGTAAATTGTATAAACAGGTAAAACTTCACGATCAAGAAGCAAGATCACCATCTCCAATGTTTATCAAAGCATTGTACAATTTGACCACAACTATATTACATTATCAGATACCAGACAACGGGCTGAATCGGTTGTCGGACCGGATCCTCTTGTTCCGCCACGACTACTGCTCACCCAACGTGCTGCAGCTCATCAACTCCGCATCTGACGTCACTGACGAGACCCTCGTCGAGATCGTGCTCACTGCCAACCGTGAGTATGGATGTCAGTAAAAACGAGTTGTAGGCTTAATGTCATTAAATAACAACGGTTCATTCGGAAAATTTGGTATCCAAAGAACAATTAATCATTGATTAATTTTTAATTTTTACAGCGTTACTGTGCGATGGAGGTGCAGAAGTTGCACCTGCGCCGCGTCCTCACGCACTCTCCGTACATTCGTACAAGGCGCCTACATTTTGCGATTTCTGCGGCGAGATGCTCTTCGGTTTGGTGAGACAGGGACTTAAATGTGAAGGTAAGTGACCATCCTTTTGTTTAAGTAAGAAGGTACTGATATCATTTTTGACCCCAGAACATTTATAACCGTTGTAATAAATGTGTTGCAGGTTGCGGGCTAAATTACCACAAACGTTGCGCTGTAAAGGTGCCGTCGAACTGCACATGCCCAGTCCCAGCGGGCGCGGGCAGCGCGGGCAGCGCGGGCGCGCGCCGCGTGTCGGGCGGCCGCAGCCCCAGCCGCGCCAGCACGCACAGCCACGCCTCGCACGACGACTCCTTGGTAAGGCGCCTCGCCAGGCTCGTCACTGACAAAGACTCCTAGCACTGTCAGACACTCGACAGTTATCTGAGTCCAATCATGAACCTGTTCTGTGGTCTGTAATTCTTCCCTTTTTTATTTCATCATTTGATTCGTTGTTTGGTTCCTCGCACACTTTTGCTTATCAATGAAATATTCATATAAAAAGTGGAAAGAGAATCTCAATCGTTTTTCAAAATCTTGAAAAGGATCTAATTTTATTGTAGAATCAACTGACGAATGTGCTTTCATTCGTTGTCAAGATTATAATGAATTTACATGCCGTACGTAACGATATTTTAGTAATAGGTTGTAGATCTGCACATTTAAATTATATTCTTATGCACACAACGATATAAGCAATAAAACTTAGAATGTATGCTTTAACATGTAATGCTAACGAATCTCAAATGTTTTGCTAGAATTTTCTAATTACTTATTTTTTAATATTTTAAGATAACTTGACATTCCATAGAAAAAGTACTTAAGTATTTTATTAAATATAAACATGACACTAAACGTGATTTTTGTCACAAATATTTCGTTACATTTTTTATTAATTATAATATTGACTATTGTCTTGGTGAATACATTAGAGTTAAGTTTCCAGAAGTGAAATAAAACAGTTGTGAAGATAAACGACGTACATTTTTTAGTAAATCAACTAAATAATGTATGTACGTATATCATTAGTATTGTTACTATAAGATTAGAAGTAATGTAGTACACAAGTATTGTTTACTTCACTTTTACGTTATCTTATAAAACTAACACGACTCGGGTGGTGGGTAGCATTTGTGGAAAATATTTTTGTTTCAAAATAAATGTTTTATTTTTATTTATTTTTTGGTTTTATTTTTAATTCCCATGTTACCCATCATCCAGTCTTTAATACGAGAGTAGATTTTTGCTATTGATAAATTTTGAATGAAGGAATAAACGTTTTGAAAAAATAGGAGCTACGTAAAATAAGTCCTCTAGGCATAGAAGCGCATCCATTTTCTATAAATCCACCTAAATGTAAAAATGTTCGTGTAATGTACTTGTTTCAAGTTTACATCGGTTTATATACACAGCATGCTGAAATCTTAGTGTAATAACCATATCCTGTTTGTATTCAACATATATTAAGTTTATTTTATCCTAAACGGAGTAAGAATTCATGATATTTATGCAAGTTTGTTTTCCAAAACGTAAAACTTAAAGCAAAATGTAAATGAAATGTGACTTCTATGATAAAAACACACAAAGAGCAGTAACTCCTGTATGTCTAATAATTATTTTATAATATACGCTACGTTTAAAAAACCGACTACAACCCCACCTCCTTTTTTTGAAGTCGGTTAATTAACGTACTCAACTTTCTCCTCCTAACACTTTCTGGAAACCGCTTAATCGGTCCAGGATAGTCGCGCACAAACATACATACACCATTTGACCTGTAGTTAAACTGAAATTCTCTTTTTTGAAGTAGGTTAAAAAAGCGGTCGTTTAGTTACAAAAAGAAATTGAGTATCAAATAATCTTCCAAAATACCTCGTGTGTTCATAAGTATTGAGACAAATTAAAAGTTGCATATCTTTTTAAATAATAAACTTATATTTATAAAAACAATAACAAACAATAAGTAGATAGTAAGTAAAAATTAAATATAATTATTATTCAAAATGACCACCCCTGTTTTTAATACATGCCCTTAGACGATTTGGCCAGTCATCAATGGCGGCACGAATCTTTTCCAGAGGAATTCGCTTCGCTTCTCGGACAAAAGCTCGCTTAAGTGACTCCGAGTTTGGGTGGGACTTTCGGCAGGCTCTGAGCTCTAATTCGGTCCATAGAGAATAATCCAGCGGGTTGAGGTCGGGGCTGGAGGAGGGCCATTCGTTCGCCGCAATGAAGGCCGGCACATTTTCCTTCAGCCAAGCTTGGGTGGTTTTAGCCTTATGGAATGGCGCCGAGTCTTGCTGGAAAACCCAATACTTGTTATGGAATAGGGTATTAGACAGGGGTTTCATAACAGTCTCTAGAATGTCACTTTGATAATTTTTGGCTTTCACCTTGACGCCTTGTTGGCAGAAATGAAGCTGAGTGACACCTTCGTACGGAACTCCCCACCATACCATGACACTAGCTTGATGATGAGTACGCGAGACATTCCGTGCTGAAGGTGGGACATCCTTGCTACTTTTGGCATACACTTTATTGTTTTGTCGATTGAACTTTTCTTCGACGGTAAACATTTTCTCGTCGGTGAAGAGTATCTTCCTCGCATCGTGTCTCCTAAGCAGTATTGGACAACGTTCGAGTCGCAACTGACGAAGGCGATCGTTTAAAAAGTGTACTTTTCTACGGCTATACGCCTTAACCTTGAGATATTTCAGTATTCTGTTGACTGAAACGCGCGAAATATTGGTCTGCAGAGCGAGTTTCTTCTGAGTGCGACATGGATTTCGGCGAAGTCGCTCTCGGATGATTTTAATGTTCGCAGGCGTCCTCACAGAGCGTGGACGACCACTTCTTTGCCGATCATGTAAAGAACTTGTCTCCTGGTATCGTTTAATAGTGTAATACACGAAGTTACGGCTCACACCAAAACTTTTCAGTTCTTGGAAAATGTCCATAGGTTTCCTTCCCACCTTAAATAATGAAATGACGGTCGCACGTAATTCTTTTGTTCCCTCCATTACGAGAAAATTTAAATAAAATAATCCGAAATCATAGATATTAAAAGTTAACATTCCAAATTCAAAATTAGAAAAAGAAATATACAGCAGCCAGTAATTTTTATTTTATTTTTATAAGCAAAAAGTTTGTCTCAAAACTTATGAACACACGAGGTAGAATAGCAAAAAGTTCATTTACACTGACGTAGGTAAGTTAAAAGAAGATTGAAGATTGAAAGAAAAAACTTAAGACTGAAATCTAAAATAAATCAAAAGTATGACAAATGTATGCTACATTATATCATTAAATTAAATACCGAGTACCTACTCGGTTAACTTAACCTAGTCCTACTATGTTGTCGCGGAGAACCTAACGGGTTACCGGGGCTCCGGCTCGACGTGCCGGAGAAGGAAGGGGGTGGTTTTTAGTCAGTAAGAGTCTGACACTCTCCCGCCTCACCCAGGCGGGAGCAGTCATTCGATGATTTTTACCCCTTAAAAAAGTCCTACTATAGGTAGGTATATAATGCTTTGAAATGTTAAACAATGTATCTACATTGAGAAATGTAAAGAGTGTGGGCGTCGGGCAGCTGGGCGCGGCGTCGCGGTGTATGTCGCGCGCGGGGTCGCTGGGCGGCTGGGGCGGCGCGGCCATCCCGCACACGTTCGAGGTGCACTCGTACACGCGGCCCACGGTGTGCCGCCACTGCAAGAAGCTGCTGCGCGGCCTGTTCAAGCAGGGCCTGCAGTGCAAGGACTGCCACTACAACGCGCACCGCAAGTGTATCCCCTTCATCCCCAAGGACTGCGGCGGCGAGATACGCGACCAGCACAGTGAGTCACGTCAGACTAACCTACATATCTTCAGCGCAGGCACGTATCCACGATTTGGTATACGAGGGTGTGGGCAGTGTTAGCTTATTTCACTTGCTTCATCTTTTACAAAAATTATAAAGTTAAACCATTTATTTCTCAATAAATCTACAGATGTTTATCTACAATGTACGAACAACAAATCCTTTGTGTGATTCACAAATTGCTGTTTTTGATCTGGCTGAATTGTATGTGTATGTGGTGTTTGTGTTTGTAAATACGCCTATGGCCCACTCAAATCGCATTTTTAGAGATAAAATATACTGGACTGAAACGGGTTGTAATCAATTCGTGTTTAAATGATTTCTATAATTAAACAAATTAATCAAGAGGGATACAATTGTACCATTATCTCCCTCTACCCCGTGGATCCGCGCCTGGTTCATTCCAAAGTGTAGAGAGTCCATTCAAAAAATAGTAAGTAGCGAAGTTAGTGGAATAGGCATGTGCCATTGTACTGTGTAACGTTTGATGTGTGTGTTAAACATAATATGTATGAGTGGTAGGCAGTAATGTAACAAGTATCATGCAGGCGAGTACCAGGACAGTAGTACGGGCAGCGAACTGTCAGAGTCAGCGCGACTGCCCGATGAGGAGTCAGATGACGGCGGGAACGAGGCCGCTGAGAGTGCAACCGGGGACGATGGAGAGGTAACAATACTGCACGTTTATTACACACGGTAGCAAGTCAACCTACTCCAATCTGTCAAGGACTTTATTACATTTTCAACTTTATCTTTTTTATAAAAAGTCGAAAATTGTATGATAAAATTGCAAGATTGGAATTGTTCTGCTGGCTCTTCTCCATTCATATGTTAATGATGGAATGGGTACTTAAAAACGAATAATTGTAATGAATAGAACTGGTACGCCGTAATATTTATTATTGGAGATATACATGTAATGGTGATTCCCCTTATCCCCTATAGGTGGAGCTCCGCCGGCGTCCGGACGAGCCGCAGCGCGACAGTCTGCCGGACCGGTCCGCCAGCCGCCCCAGCAGGTGAGCGCCGCTCGTCTCGCGCCGTGTGGTGGTGGTCTCGTGTTTTATACTGACTGCCTACTGCCAAGTTTGTTTTACGTCAACGCGATCGAATATTTTATGACGTTCGGCGCTCTGATTGGCCTGGTCCAAATTCTCCAACCAATCAGAGAGCTAAACGCTATCGTGTCTATCACGTTAACGTAACAAACTCGCACTAAGCACTCTGTACGTCTTACTATTGTTGTTATACTTGTGTCCTGGTGTCGGTTTACACGTTTTAATATAACATAAGGATGCTTTGTGTGATATTGTGTGCACTACTTATAAACATAATGTGACGTCTCCTCGAATCTTTATGGCTTGTATTAAGTATATTCATGCATTTATGCTATCCGCTTGTTTTCACCTTTACCGCATTTTCTTCTATACCGCAACTACGTCATAACTATTTTTCACCAGAGAAAATATAAAGGTATAGTCTCCAGCACGAACCATGGACAGCATTGTGTATTGTCACATTGTTACCTCATAATTTTATAGTTATTGCAATTGTTTTAGATTTAATCATGTATACTAGAAAGTAAATAAACGGAAGATTAAGGTTAAACTAGTCGCGGGCTCGAACTCAATCAAGGGCGTGGCCAAAAAGCGCGCTGTCTCATCTAACATCGTGTGTGACAGAAATAGTACCAGTGATGAGCAGTTAGACGCTATCTATTTGCACGACGTATTGTTCGCACGCACACAAACACAGCAAAACGTCACTGAACGGTGCATATATCTGTGCTGTGTGTGTTTACTCGTAGTAAAGTCGTACGCGTTGCTACGATTTTATGATGCTCGCATGAATTTTAGTAATTATTGTCACAGGTCATTGTAATTACTGAATTTTTTATTTTTTTATGATAAGTTGATAACACAATATCCGAAGAATCTACGAAAGGCTAGGGATATAATTCTGTAGGTAAACAGTTACATTTTTTTCTAAGTACCAATAACTTTATGTACCTACTAAACCTAATAGGTACCTACAATATTTGTTGTATTTGTTTAGTTTTCGTAAAAGTAGGTAATTACCTAAAAGTATGTTTACTTGCTAAAAATAAAGTAAGAAACGTAATAAAAAGTATAGTATTGACAACCCCAATCGAGTTCTCACGGAGCACGATAGCCACAAAATATAAAGGTACCTAGTTAGTTCTATGGTATAACTACATACAAAGCGCGCTCGAGCACGTAGGTATAAACAGTGAAGCAGGTAAATACCTAAATGAGATTGACTTCTGTACCTATGTATTTTGTGCGAAAACATTCGGCTTGGCGGTTGCCCGTTGATATTATCAATATTCCTATTTGCGGTAATCTACAACCATTTATTATAAAGAGCCTAAAGAGGTAAAGTTTGATGTATAATAATCATGATAATTTCTTCTGTCTGGGTGTTTTTATCTAATTATAATAATATGGAAATATTTAGAAATATACCTCTAAGTACCTATGTATATCTGTTGTCTAGTAGGTACCTAGGTAGGTAGGTACACATAACACAAGCTCTGCTTAGTTTGGGACTGGACAGGGTAGGTACAAAGTTGTGTGATATTGTGGAATATTATTATTACTTAGGTATTATTTAGGAAGGATGGCTAAAAAAGCATAGGTACCGTAGGTACGTAAACGTAGTGTACCTGCTAGTAAAATATCAATTCGGTCTAGCCGAATTGAACATTGACCTGAACAAATAGAAAGACAGACAGACGGAAAAATAAATAGGAAAAATACAAAAATAAATAAATTAAAAATGGGTTTAAAAACTATTTATTTGTTTTTTCTGTCTATCTGTCTTTCTGTTTGTTTTACGTAGGTACCTATGTCCAAAGGAATAAGTAGTTTTTTTTTACCTACTTATCGTGCAAATAGCCGTGTGAGTATGAAAAAATCTATGTAGGAAGGTATTTTAATATTTGGTACAAACTGACACTGCAATTTATTTACATTGTTTAGTATAGGTATATCGATTTTACGATAAATAATATAAGTATCGTACACCTCGCACTATAATACCTACGGACAGTTTACTTACAAGCTTTTATATAGGTAGGTACTTACTCGTGGCTTCGTTGATAACTAACAATTATATTTTTGTTCAACTTACGTACCGCGAATAATACCTTAGTACCTACCTACCTAATAAATAGGGTACGATCGTGTCATCGTATAAAGGGCATCTTGTGTAGGTATAGACCTACTCCTATCCTACCTATCGACACCACACCACCGCACCGGTCGCAAAGCTCCAGTCGTAAGATAAGGGTAAGGAGAATAGTCTACACATACGATACAAACCACGTAGGCCACAGCAGCAGACTAAGTCGACCAAGTCCAAAACAAAAAACAATAGAAAATAGTCTAATGATTTCCACGACACTCGCTGTCGTGCAAAAAATTGTGCAAAAAATTGTGCAAAAACGCGTGAGCGTCTTCCCTCCGCCCCGCGCCGCTGCCGGGGGAATTTTATCAAATGAAATGCACGATAATTCATCGTAAAACGAGTGCGTATAAAAGTACGATTTAGTGCTTTAGAAAATAGCGATTTTTGAAAAAACCACTGCTTAGATCAATTTGAAATAAATTTTATAGAACTCTCTGGTAATTGTGCTGTGTCGGTACGGTCTACGGTTTGAAGATTTTACACGATTAGTGGTACTTTTTAACACCCAAAGTTGCGTCAAAATTGTCATGAAAAACAAAACTTTGGTGGCTCATAACTTTTTAATCGTTATTTTTTATTTTTTTTTGTTTCCGTACCGACAAGTGCAATTACAAGATAAAACATTGTCGTGTTTAATTTTGGAGGTACAAATTCACACTGTGGAGTAATACCGCCCCGAACTTTCTATGGAAAAAATATCGACTAGTGTAACCTTAAGGAAAGGAACCCACATAGGTTGAATGTGCAAAATAATTGAAAATATGCAAAGCGCGAACTTATCCCCACAGGCCAACAAAATACAACAATAGGGTAGATGCCTAATTTTAATTTTAATGTCCGTCTGGTAGATTATTTCAAATCATTAAACACGTATTTTTTATTTTCTTACAGAAACGAATACTTTCGACGATATATTGATTTGAAATGTCGCGTGACGTCACTTCTATGTACATTTTATACGTAGAAATGACGTTTTAGCCCCCACTCCTAAACTTTGATTCGTTTTATCTAAGTATTGTTTTATTATACGACAAAATAAAAAAAATCGTGTCTAATATTTTTTAATTACCTAACTAACCTAACTTACGGACTAATTAGATTTCATCATCCCAATTTATTATAAAAAAAATCGACCATGGTATTACTATTTTGTCGCATGCATTGCTCTTCTGAATGGTAACCATTTTAAAATGTAGATTTTATCATTTTACATTCTCCACATACGAAAATAGTATTGTTTAAGAGTAGAATTAGATAACTAAAAGTAATTACATAAAAAAATTGTTAAAAAGCTTAGCAAATTATATTTGTTTGCTATTTAATACTTTGTATCATTTTTGTCTTTAACAATATACACTGCATGGAAAAAGTACTTAAATTGTAATTAATGGCAAACCGTATTTTCTATTTTTACTTCTCTGGGTAAGATTTTTTTGCTTCTATGATTCTAAGTTGCAACTTGAAAACGAATAAACCTACACCAACGTCCTAGTTAAAGTAACTGAACACTCCCCGCCGCCACACGCCCGCACCCCCCTTGAGTAGGCAGCAACCCCCGGTCCTTGTAGATCTGACTCGTGTGCACGTTACAGCTCGTCCTCCTCGCCCAGCGCCAACATACCACTCATGCGCATCGTACAGTCCGTCAAACACACCAAGAAGAGGGACGGACAGTGGCTCAAAGAGGGCTGGCTCGTACACTTCACTAATAAGGACAAAACTGTTAGTACACTCGCCAATTTACTTTATACTTATATTTGGTTCACCAAATTTGTGTATTTGGGTCACACAATGTTTATTTCAATAAACCTATGATAGTATGGCTCTTGATAAACATCGTGTTACCTTGCAGTTGAAACGTCACTACTGGCGTCTGGACAGCAAATCGATCACATTGTTCACATCGGAACAAGGCAGCAAGTACTACAAGGAGATCCCGCTCAACGAGATCCTGGCTATCGACACTGCTAGGCAACCACATCCCGGGACAGGTACGACCAGGGATCACGGCTTTGAGATAGTCGGTAAGAATGGAGAGTAACGAGGTTTGTGTGTGTGCAGACGTGATGCACTGCTTCGAGGTGCGCACGGCCAACGTGGACTACCTGGTGGGCGTGGAGGAGGCCTGGGCCGGCGCCGCGCCGCCGCCGCCCGACTCGGGGCTCGGCGCCTACCTCGCGCGCTCCTGGGAGACTGCCGTCAGGCACGCGCTGCTGCCCGTCACGCACCACTCCGGTGAGGCTCCGGCGGACGCCACGCCATCCTATACAATCACACTTTCATACGTTATGGTTGCTATTTGCTCTTTACATCTCCTTCAAATATACTTAATGAAGATCGATCTATAACTAATTATGTAGTAGTTTAAGATAGATCTTAGTTTCCTATTTCTTTGAATATTTTCTTTACCATAAACATGACGCGATTGCTTTTGTATCCATTATTCTTAACAATACTAATACCCATCCCAGTCTCATCGAATACATATTCTTCATTCATATAACAATACTAAATCAATTCAGTCGTGACAACAATATTAACAATCGGAAAAGTGTCATTCCCGTGTATAGCCGAGGCGCGGGGCTGCGCGCTGGCGGAGGCGGAGGGCGAGGGCAGCACAGAGGAACGAGTCACTGACATGGCGCAGCTCTACCAGATCTATCCAGACGAGGTGCTCGGATCCGGACAGTTCGGCATCGTCTACGGAGGCCTGCATCGACGCTCCAAGAGACCCGTTGCCATCAAGGTACTATCGCCGTTTCATCAGTTATCATCATAAATATACGCGTAATTTTGTAAAAATACTTTTATATTGATCCCCAGGTGATAGACAAACTCCGGTTTCCCACTAAACAAGAAGCTCAGTTGAAGAACGAGGTAGCCATACTACAGAACTTATCCCACCCTGGTGTCGTCAACTTGGAGCGTATGTTCGAAACACCCGAGCGTATCTTTGTGGTGATGGAGAAGTTGAAGGGAGACATGCTCGAGATGATCCTGTCACATGAGAACGGGAGGCTTACGGAAAGAATCACTAAATTCTTAGTGGCACAGGTACGCGCCTCATAATGTAATGTATTGTTCTACGATGGAAATTACATTCAAGTGATTATTAACGAATATTGACCTCCTCAGATCCTGGTAGCTCTGAAGCACCTGCACGAGAAAAACATCGTGCACTGCGACCTCAAGCCAGAGAATGTCCTGCTGTCCACGGATGAAGAGTTTCCGCAAGTCAAACTCTGTGATTTTGGCTTCGCCAGAATCATTGGGGAGAAATCTTTCAGGAGATCCGTGGTCGGGACGCCAGCGTATCTTGGTAAGTTCCATAATAATGTACAATTTTTCGGACAGTTTCACTATAATATCTCAAAAAGTATTATCTGTATTGTTATTTATTGTTGTGTAGCTCCAGAAGTCCTTCGCAACAAAGGGTACAACCGGTCACTGGACATGTGGTCGGTGGGAGTGATCATATACGTGTCACTGTCGGGCACGTTTCCCCTTCAACGAGGACGAGGACATCAACGAACAGATACAGAACGCTGCCTTCATGTACCCGCCCACGCCGTGGAGGGAGATCTCTGCCGAAGGTGAGACTGTTTGTTAGTATTGTATAGTCGCGATATGTAGTAGATGTAGACGGGCAGTGACTCGAGTCGTGTGTGCAGCGATCGACCTGATCAACAACTTGCTGCAAGTGAAGCAGCGCAAGCGCCTGTCGGTGGACAAGTCGGTGGCGCACGCGTGGCTGCAGACGCGCGGCGCGTGGCGCGACCTGCGCGCGCTCGAGGCCCGCGTGGGCGCGCGCTACCTCACGCACCCCAGCGACGACGCGCGCTGGGCCGAGCGCTGACCGGGGCCCAGCGCATGCTGCCCCGTTCTAGAAGACTCCCCGGTTGGTAACGTGATCACGACCCTCGTAATATCTTACACATATACCCTGCACAATGTATAGGAAAGAAGTATGTTTTCTTATAAATATTTTAATGGTTATATTCAATAGAGCCGACAATACGTTGGATATGATATTGTTAATGCAAGATTTGTATTTTATAGATGTTTTACCGAGAGAGTTATGGTACTTCGATGACAAATGCTACGCACTTAGTGCTATCTTTCGAAGTACCAAATATGGTTGTCAAATAACTGCATTCCTACATAGTAACAACTGTTTTGTTTTAGCTGTTTTTATTTATTTGTGCGGTTTTTATACTTAGTTTAATTTGAATTAAGTTTTACATTTCCGTTTGAATATGATGTTGTGAACAATAAAAATATTATTTTAAGTTATTTACTTTTAAGTGTTATAAAGAGATATTTGATGTCACAAATAGACAAGCTAGAGAACTTATATTCCTGTGCATTAAATATGTTTCGCGATAATACAGGTAATACTCCACAAGTCACAAACGATGGTAACATTATAATAAACGAAGCGCTTCCTTTTACATAATTACCAAGTTTACAAGTAAAGTCCCTTGCAACCTGTTTCCCCAATAATCAAGTACATATTTGTTCGTATATTAAAATATTTTTAATTAACTTGTAATATTATCTAACTCACTTCTTATCTTAAGCGAAATCCTAGTCTATAAGAATGTGAACTCTATCTTCTAAGTAATAAGTACACTAATGTTAGAATAATAATTTTGCAGCTGTTTTGTACAGTGTACAATGTTTTATGTTATTTATTATTTACTAAACAATGTAGACGCGATATTAGTACAGTTTGATCGTGTTTGTCGAGTTACTGCTGACGTGCGACGACTAATGTTACTAAGTATTAGTTATAACTATCCAACTCTACTTCAGAGACTAGTTTTAATTCTTCTCTAGCATTCATGCAACATGTATGCTAAGCCTACAAATCGACGGCCTAAGAGGTTTAAGGAATAACCTGATATAGAATAGTCGATAGAAAACGATGACTTGTTGTTTCATCTTTAATTATATTAATGTTGTAGTAGTAAGTAACGGGTATGGGACTGGTGACGATGTATGTGTTAGCTTATAGGTACGTGATCAAAGTAATACTTACTTGTATGCAGATATTAATACTTTTTGGATTTGTTTTATGAAATTAAACAACAACTAGAGTAGTGCCAACGTTTTACATTTTAACTATATGGATATTTTGTAAATACTTTAGAACAAAATGGCAGTCTTCCCTATTTTGTTACAAGTACACTCAAATCTAAGTACATGTAATTTATGCAAAATAAAATAAAAAGTCGGATGTTTTTTTTTTAATTTTTATGTTTTTAGCTCTCATCACATAATTACATTTTAAGAATGTTACGTATGACAAAAATATAGATTATAACAAATGTTTTGTTATTAGGAATCGTTCATATAGAAGAAGAGTGTAAGATTGTTGAGAGGTGGATAAATGCTGTGAATATTTATTATATTGATAGCAACGCACTGCGTTGGAGTATGACCCGCTGTTTGTAAAGCGGGTAACTCGACAATATTTTACATATTTTTCTGCCTCGGCCGCCTTACTTCCAACTGTACGTAGCCGTGTCCATTACAAGGCACTTGTCACGTTATTTTGCCGCTGTGTGCGCGGGATCTGACAAAATCCATGACATCTGTCTTGCTGGTGTGTGTCGTAGTGTATGCTAGGGGTATGTGACAGAAGGGACCTAAGTTATGGTATACGTCGTCAGTAAGTGTGTTTATATGTCACAATAATATTGTTGTACTGTTCTAATCTGAGCCGTCATTCCAAGAGAGAGCTAACTGGGTGAGTCTGTGACTACGCGATATTCCATTGTTAGTCGAATAATGTAAGTTATAGTAATAGTAGCAACAATAAAGTGCAAAGTATTGGATATCTTCAGAGTGTTGCGCGTTAAATACAATTCTCAGAATGAGCATGTTATTAGCGTGATATATGGAATATACCAAAATAGTCCACTTGACTCATTCCCGTTCGCGCATTTTACTTGAAACTGTGATTTTTATACATTTATTTTTATAAACTTTACAATATTTTTGCAATACAAACTTCTGTTTTCTGTGATCTCGTTGCGGCGTTCCGTTAATTGCAGCTAGCTCGTGAAATTATTAATATAATTATACATTATATATCTAGATGTATATGTTGTCGATGTTATGTGTAATGTGCTAATCTTTGTCATTAATCTTATTCTCTTAACATATTCAGTTGACGACAGGTCGGTGTACCAATTGTCTAGCCATGTGCCAAGTGTGGTGTGCCAAGTACCTAGAACATATTGCTAGTTTCCGGTTTTATTTAAAACTTATTCATCAATCCAATGAAAAAGGTTTTATCATAAACTTGATTTTACCACTAAACACTTTGTACTTTTAACCTTGTTGAGGTAGAAATAAAAAGCCACGGCCTATTCTGATGTTAGTACTACGATTGCCATGTCGACCTGTCGCGACCTACATACTTGCGTGTACTGATATAGCGGGAGCATTTTCCCGGACGTCACCACGTTTAGTGGTTCGTGCGCAAGTTTGTTCATTAAACTATACATTTCAATTGTCAATTTTGACCTGTTAAGGAGTAGGTGCTTGGTGTAAAAGCTACTGTATTAGTATTATGATTGTCGGAATGTGCTTTTTGAATATCCTTTTTATTTATTTTAAAACATGTATGTATTTCTATACAACAAAATACTTTTTAATGTTTACTTGTATTTCTTTGAAGTCTTCCTGTTAAAATATGCCCAAAAATAATGAGGACATTGTAGATATATTTTATTTAATAAATTTTACTCAGATGTATATTATTTTGTAACTTGTGAATTTTGGACCAAACCACACGTTGTAATATTAGAATGTAACATAAATATTTATATCATTAAAATTTTTTGGGATCAAGTTTGAAGAGATCGGTTTGTGAATCCGCTATATTGTTGTGCCAACTTAAAACTACTAGAATAATCGGAAGAATAGATTGAAACTCATTCAAACGCTTTATTAAATTACCGTACTTATAAATTAGCCAAGAATTATACAGAAACTAGGTATTTTATTATAAAAATGGTACACCATCTGGGGCAAAAAATTAACTGATTGTGTCAAAATGTGTGGTCTTTGAGGATTTTAACAAGAAGTCGGGCCTTAACATTATGGCCGTTTCTCATATAACCACTTTCCAAATGTCCATCACCATTGTAACTTGGGCCGTGTTATTGTAGAATTTTGGTCGCTTTCGCTTATACCGTGTGAGAACACTGAGAACTTGTTGGGCGGTGTCTGTGTTCGCACGAGAGTTAATCGTCATTAAGTCATTGTTTAGAAAACGCAGTGTGGTTACAAATAATGTTATACTAGTTTAATAAGCAACTTAGTACCAACTTTAATGCAAACGGTTTCAGGACTAAAGTCTTCAATATAAATATCTGCGATCATAATTACATGAGAAAAACGTACACAACTCGTCGTTTCTTCATATCAAACGGTTCGAAAACTTAATTCGGTAAGTATATTGTATATTTGAATTTAAAATAAATGTTGCATATGAAGAAGCTTCGGAGAGTACACAAATAAGTAGCCCGGCCTATATTATATAGGTAGGGACACAAAGACGACACAATAACCCATGTGCCCCGTGTTGATGTTTTAGCATAAGATAAGAGATTAATTAATATTTGACAGATTTACAAATTGTGTTATTATTAATTATTTAAATAATAAATGCCGTTTTTTAATATAAAGAAATGTTTCAATGAACAAATACCCGATCAAAGGATATATTTTGTATTTCGTACATACAATAAAAATGCTTACCTACACTATCTGTCTACTATCTAGGCCCTACACTAACAATTCGCTGTGCCTCTAGAAACATACAACTCACATAGATCACATCCTGGCCGTCACAACAAAAACATCATGCATAGGACACTCATGACTCATAGAATAATTCCGTGTGGGAATCGACCCGGAACTCATTGCTCAGTAGCTGGTCCAAATGCCTGCAGTTAGTACTCAAACCGAAGTTGAAACCTTACTCACAGAGTCGTACTTGCAGACACTCGACCAAAGGAGCAGTCAACCTAAGAGGTAAACAAACTTCACGGCTCGATTATTGGGTGCTACGCAGACTCGAGTGCGTGGAGCAGATAATAGACTAGTTTATGGAGAATTTTATAAACATTTGTTTTATGAATTGTTCAATTCAAATCAAATCAATTTATTTGTGAACACAGGTAATACAGAAGGGTGTTTAATATACAATTATAGCGTCTCCATGTTCTACCAATAAATTCGAAGAATATGTCTTGTCAATTAAAAATATTGTCAGTTTTCGTTTAAAAAGTGGAATATTATTTTTGTTTCTAATACATTTAGGTAGTTAACTATAAATTTTTGGAACCATTGCAAAGATACTGTTCCTGTATAGTGTAGTTCTAGATTTTAATAAATATAACTGGCCACAACGACGTTGACTGGTTCCTCGGTCAAAATTATTAAAATAGTTTTTGACGAACATAGCAGTTTCATAGATGTATAATGAGGGGACCGCCAACATTTTAAGGTTTTTAAAGAAAGTGTAGCAGCTGTCGGTAGACTGCAGATTACAAATAACCCTAATGCATCTTTTTTGACACTTGAATAGCATTTCTTTACCGGTTGCATTCCCCCAAAAAATAATTCCATATCTTAATGTTGATGCTACTAGACCATGGTACTATGCTGTCAACACTGTTTTTCGGTTTACTGTTTTATTTAGCACGTGAAGAGCAAAGAAATATTTATTTAATTTATTACACACTTTATCTATATGAACATTCCATTTCAATTTTTTCTGTATACTTAGTCCTAAAATTTTTTTATATACTTTTTCCGTGATATTCTACGATTAAATTGGTGTATTGACCCATTCGCTGTTCAAATTTCATTATTGCCGTCTTATCTAGGTTTATGATCAAATTATTATAACAAAATATAACATCACGCCATTTTATCCCCGAAGGGGTAGGCAGATGTGCACATTACAACTCTTAATACCACTGTACAATGTAACACCCACTTATCACTATTTATGTTATGAGTCCCATGTAATAGGGGCCTAGTATGTAATAGTGACACAATTCTAGACTCCGTGCTACTACTGATTTTTTTTAAAACTCCAGTAATACTTAGCCCGACCAGGGAATCGAACCCAAGACCCCATGCCCGGTAGTCGCACTTGCGACCACTCGGCCAACGAGGCAGTCCAAATTATTATATTTTAACCAATTTACAACAGATTCCATGTTAGCATTTATATCTGCTTCTAATGTTTGTAAATCATCACTATCGTCTGCAAACATGGTCATTGGATATGTTGATAATGTTGGAAAGTCATTTATGTATATAATAAATAGAGTCGGGCCAAGGACACTACCTTGTGGTTGTGGTACGCCGTAAGTAACAGTTCTCTGGCCAGACCTATAAGTCACCTCGCTATCTTTAGTGATTCTACTGATAACTGTCATTTGCCGTCTGTTATGTAGGTAGGATTCAATTTGACTCAATACGTTTCCTCAAATTCCATATGCATTTAGTTTACTTAGGAATATTTTATGATCAACGCGATCTAACGCTTTTGTCATGTCCATGTAAAGTGCTACAGCTGGTAATTTCTTATCTACTACTTGACTGCTAACTTTATCTAAAAAGTCGTGTATGGCCATATCAATTGACTTGTTATTCCTGAAGCCTTTTTGATTGTCAACTAGTAAATTATTATTTTCAAAATATGAAATGATTTGATTATTAATTACTTTTTCGAAAATATAAGAAAATATTGGTACCAGAGCAATAGGTCTGTAACAGGACATATTTTCTCTGTTGTCTTTCTTAAAAAGCGGTTTTATTATAGTAATTTTTAATTTACTGGGAAAAGTACCATACTCTATGCTCAAATTAATAAGATAACTCAATATTGGTGCAATAATGATGGATACGTGTTTTATAATTTTAGTACATATATCATCGTAATCAGTGCTAGCCGTGTTTTTGAGCGACATGAAAAATATACGTATTTATAAATGGTAAGATATGTCTCGGAACTTACCTATCTAATGCTAATCTTAGTCTAAAGCAATCCTGCTCTTGTGAGTTGTAAATACTGATAGATACACACATCACAGAATTTATGCCATGTATAGGTTGGTATATTATAATTTATAATATGTACTTAAATAAGTAGAGTCACTTGCATCAGCAGCGTCTGAATCGTAGTTTTTCTAAAATCACTAATTTCAAATTTGTTTCAAAGTTGTTCTACAGGATAATTGGCCGTATTAAACCGTAGCATATATGTTGAGTACCCCTGACATAACAGTAGTACCATTAGACGAAGCGCGACACACGTCACACGACGCTTCACATTGAAACAAACATGTGAGCAGACGCGACGATGACACGCCTCCTAGCACTGCTGCTCATTGCACACGGCGCCGCCGAGTGGGTGGAGATCTCACAGCAACACTACAGGAAGCCCATCAGAACACATACTCACTTCACGTCCGACAAAGTGATAGATGTCGAAGATACTACTACTCCTTGGAACTACAACAACCACAGTGTAGTTGAGTACAGCTGGAACAGCAGTCCTTCTTCACTTAACATCGGCAACGTGAAGCGCTTGCAACATGTGGAGACTACTACAAAAGTAAATAAAAGACTCAACCTGGATGATGATGATAATGATGACCTCGAATTAAATATCGATTTTAGAAACTACGAACTTGGATCCACTAAACCAACTACAGAATTAAGTAAACCTGATAAGCAAAAAGGTACAATTGAAAGAGTTTCCAACCTTGGTAACATTAAACGGGTCCAGTTGAAAAGCAGCCCTGTAAAATCACCTGCTATCTACAACAAAGTAGGTGAAGAAATCTATTTTAACAACCACCACGAGAATGGAGCATACAGTGACAGCGTTCACTCAGCAGCAGACGAGCTTGATGGCGTCAAAAACTCAGAAACTTTTCATAGAAAAGTTTACATAAGCAACTTGAAAAAATATAGCCCTGACCGGCTTGCTACATTTCCACCAGACGAAGATGAAATAATTACATTGAATGTGGACGCTACACCTATAAGTAACACGGACAGATCAAAATCTCATTTCAAAAATCACACTATTGTGAGGAATTTTTATTCTACAAAGCCAACTTTTATAACTGAAACGGAAGATTTCACCAATTACGAAACTGAACAGGATAGGTTTTACAGAATTATCAACAAAGAATCCACCGAAGTTTACAAGAAAGATAACGGTGCAACAGAAATTATAAACACGAGTGAAGACAGGCGACCCAAACCTAATACAAAATCTACAACAGGGAAAGTTAATACGTCAAATGAAAAGTTCTATAATTTTAAAGCTGAATCAGACGTCAATAATGTCTTTGAGAATAATGAAAACGTTTCATCAGTGATTAGTAGTGATGTTAAAACAAACACAAAGGACCCAGATTCACCACCTCTCCAAACAGACCATAAAAAAAAAGAAATAAAAGACAAAAAAGATGGAACACTAACCAACACAGCAAAAAACGAAAATAAAGTGAATGCAATCGAAAACTTAATAAACTTCATGAGAGTGGTTGCTGACACTATATCCAAGAACTCGCGAAGAAATTTCAATGGAAAGATCCAGTATTTACATGAGCTGAAGGATACAATCTTAAGTAATATCGGTAAGTTAAATATTTGTGCAAGCAGATAATATTTAATGAATGTCTCCTATTTCTGTGGATGCAACATAGATAAACCTGAAACCAGATTACTACTATACGGTGTTGTCTGATTTTTCTGTAAGACGATAAAACAGAGTACCAAGCTGTAGGCTGTAGAAACTTAGACTAAGTTACTAGTAGGTATACCTACCTACACTTTTATTCGAAATAAATACCTATGACATAAAATATGATTGATTATCAAGATAACTTACCTATAAAACTCTTGCAGAGGACCGTATAGATGCGACATGGCCAGACGATGACAGTGCGGGTGCGCGACGTCGGTCACGGTCTGCGCACGCGACACCCCGAGGCCATGTCCACTTCCCTTCTTCAGAAAGTGCCCTCATGACCATATCTTTCTTAACTTTCGCCGTTTTCCTCATCAAATTGGTGCTGGTAAGAAGATAACAAGTTATAAATACATTTTTAAGTAGGATCTTTTACAAGAAAATCATATCAAGCCGTAGCGTTAACTTAACGTTTTTGTTATTTGTAGCAAGTTATCCACACGTACAAGAATAAGGCGATGATGGTAGCCCCGCTGCTAGTGGCCTCCGGGCGCAACGTGTTCTCCGACCGTGGATGACGACGACATTATAATATTTTAACGATTATAAGTAACTCAATCTATTGTATCCAAGTTATGTAATGATGAGCACAATAATAATGATGTTTTCATTTTTTACTTTTTACTTACTCAATTTGTAATTAAAATTTTTTTAACAAATAAATAATGAAAACAATTAACACATTCTATTTGATTTTACTATCTATTCTATTTTGTTTTGATTTGTAATGTTATCGGATTCCCGCCATTGCATTTGTAAGAAATAAAATTGGCGTTTGTTTGATATTGATTGATGTCTATCTGTCGTTCAGAAACGTTCAAATTAGGTAAATCTTTTTTGCTGATTAAGTACCTTCCTAATTGTTGATAAAATTGTGCAGAATGCATAAAACCGGTCAGTGTATAAAAATAAAGATCTAGAAGTTGAAATTAAATGCACTGTACTATAAAATAACTATGTCTATAAGATGAACGTAAAAATTTCTAACTGTTTCTAAACGAAATACATTTGAAGCAAACAAATGAAAGGAGTAAATGACACTAATGACAGCTATTAGATATTGATGAAACTGGCTGGAACTGGCAGGCAGGAGTACTTGTTTGTGATTTTGTTTTCTTTACTAGTGTTTTAGTGCATAATATTAATTAAAAATGAATGCAACAGAAGAAATATTTATGATAAATGCTATTCCGAGCTCTAGTCAACCGTCAACTTCCACACAAAAGCTAGGCGAGCTGGTATTATCAGGCGGCCCACAAGTTAACCTTGAAAGTCGGTATACAAATTGAATTATTGCTCTTATTTGTTTGTTTCCAATAACGTTTTGTTTTTAAAAATACTGTTTTGCGTAGAAATAATGTAACATCATCAGTTAAAGATGTAAAGTGTAATTATTAACTTGTTGTAGTTAGTAACTTAAATGAATGTCATGTTGCCCTGGATACACTAATGCAACATTATAATTTCAATTGTATATTTACATGTGTCAACTGATATTTTATAAGACAGATTATGTATAATTCCCCTAAATTACAATAGTGTAATGTAATTGGCAGATGTGAAAGACTTCTCCCATGTATGTCGGACATGTGCCACTATCACAGAGTTCGTAATCCCAATATTTGCTGGAGAGGGCCTGCAGAACAACCTGGCTGACAAAATACACAAGCACTTACCCATACAGGTGATTACTGTCTGTTCTTATTAACTGGTAAAGATAAAGTTCATAGAAATTTTGTGTGAATAATTTTACTGTTGGAACAATCATATTAAATTTTTTACTTACATTTTTGGATTTTCAATCAATAATTACTAAGTGTAACACTTACTATGTGTGCTGCTATAGTTGTGTGAATGAGATGTGGCATGTGTGTGCAGGTGTGTGTGGAGGACAGGTTGCCGCAGGTGGTGTGCTACCAGTGCAGCAGTACGCTGCTGGCCTGGCACGAGCTCGTGCAGTGCTGTCTGCACGCCGACACCGCCCTGCGCGCCAGGCTCGCCTCCGACACGCTACAGGTATACATTCATACATGCTCTCATTGCACTCCCTTCTATTCATTAATATATTGCAATTTAATACACCATTATTTTTCAGGAACCTAAAACATCAAATGTCATATCAAACTCTATAGAAAATGAAGCGCAACCCAAGTAAGTACATCTCATATCACTTGTGTCAATATTCTTGCAGACTTTGCCAAGTGTATTCACATTTCAGGTCGTTATACATTATCGTCAAAAGCGTTCTCGTTGACCACTTTCATAACATTGTGGATGAAGAAGATTTGGATGTGGAGTTTGTTTGCCAGAAATGTGTGGACCAGCCGAGGCTGCCCACCGTGCGCGGCCTGGCCCAGCACATACAGCGCGAGCACGGCCCGGGGGGGTCCCACACGCACGACTCTGTCAAAACATTCATCACCGAGAACATTACATTCGAACAAGCGCTAGCGCCAAACGATTCCGACACAGAGATACAGGCGACTGCAGAAAAGTTGAAACCACAGACAGACAAGAATAAGAAGACATCCCAGGCTGCGGCAGCTACCCTTTACTGCCCGTACTGCCCCGGCGTGTTCTCGAGCGCAACGCGGCTCGTGCACCACCTCAACAAGCACGTACAGGTCAGCATGGCGGCCGGGGTACTGTGCTGCGACCTGCTCTACCACGACAAGAAACTCTTCGTCAAACACTTGCAGGAAGCACACATCGATCGAGACGATGCGACCCGGGAAGCGCTCATCCAGGTCACTTGTGGTAGTTGTGGTTACATCACTGATCACGTCGACAAATTAAAGAACACTGCGCAAGTACGCATGAAAAGATAAAAAATAAAAAAGTCAAGAAAGTAGAAAATCCCGACAACCAGAAACTCATCCCAGCAGTGTGCCCCGAGTGCAACAAGACGTTCTCAAACAAGTACAACATGTTCGTGCACATGCGCTGTCACTCCAGCGCCAAGCTGTACACGTGCGATGTATGCTCCAAGACGTACAGCTCGCAGACCAACCTCAACACGCACAAGAAGGTCGTGCACCAAGGGAAGCTGGACTTCACTTGCTCTGTCTGCAAGGATGCATTCGGCACGCGACTGGAGCGCGACGTGCACGCGCGCATACACAGCGGGGAGACTCCGTACAAGTGCGAGGACTGCGGCAAGGCCTACCGCGCCAAGAACACGCTCAATCGCCACATGGAGATACATCTAGGCATAAAGAAACACGAATGCGCCATCTGCTCCAAAAAGTTTCGGAGGAAGAGTCATTTGGACCGGCATATAGAGACGCACATGAAGTAACGGAGTATTATTTGTTTCAGGAGCCCCTGCTTCTCTTACGAAGAGCCCGCGCACACGGACCGACTGTCCGACCAGTCCGATGACGAGCCGCTGGCCACGCTCGCCACCAGAAAGCCCGCACGACTGTATAAACGTTTCTATAGAGCCCTCGTCAATTTCAGAAACCATTTCGTTAATGATCACCAAGAAGAATGTCCTGATTCCACGGAATCTAGTGTTTCAGAGATCGAAGATAATGATGTGGATAGATTCGATGACTTGACACAATGTAATATGAGGAGAGACAGACTCGACGAGGCGACCAGACTAGAGCTAAATGAAGTCCAGAATAAAATTAACGACAAAACATACTACACGTGTAAGATATGCAACAAGAACTTAAGTTCTGCGCACACATACTTGTTCCACAAACGTATTCACACGGGCGAGCGGCCGTGCGTGTGCCATATCTGCGGCAAACAGTTCCGGGCACCCAACGGACTGCAGCGACACCTCACGGAGACGCACGAACGCGTTCGAAGATACAACTGTAGCTTGTGTCCTAAGAATTTTGCCAACTCGCAGAATCTGAAGCAGCACTTGCGAATACACACAGGAGAGAAACCGTTCGAGTGTTCTCACTGTGGTAAGCGGTTCACACAGAGTGGCTCGTTACACGTGCACCTGAAGACGCACAGCGGACACTTCCCGTTCCAATGCGCCGAGTGCGGCGCCAAGTTCAGGCTGCGCTCCGGCCTGGCGCGCCATCGCCTCAAGCACACCGGCGAGCGCCCGCACGTCTGCGCGCACTGCGGCAAGGCATTCCGCCAGCGACACGAGCTCTACAGCCACGCCCTCGCGCACTTCGACGCCAAGCCCTTCTCCTGCACGCTCTGCGGCCTCGCCTTCCGCCAGCGCCGGGCGCTACGCCATCACGCCAAGCGAGTGCACGCTGCCGACGCCGCCCTCGCGCACGTTGTCTACGACCCGTCGGACACTACTAGATTCTAATGTGTGCATTATGAACTAATATTTGAGTGTCAATACTCTTGATTTCGTCCTTTGCATTTCCAGAGATGTCACATCGGAAGAGGCAGTTCGAGAAGATAGTAAATGTAAAGTCGACGAGATAATAGAGAAACCAGAATACACTATCACCGAGAACGGGAAACGATACGCGAAGTGCGGAGTGTGCCAGAAGAGCGTGTCGGTGAGCTCGTGGGCACGACACGTGCGCACGCACCGAGGGGAGCGCCGCCACAGCTGCCACACGTGCGGCCTGGCCTTCGGGGACAGCGCCAACCTCGCGCGCCACGAGCGGGCGCTGCACGCGCGCCTGCGCCCGCACGCCTGCGCCGCCTGCGGCAAGACGTTCTCTCGCAAGAGCCACCTGCAGGAGCACGCGCGCTCGCACTCGGGCAGCCGCGCCTACGTGTGCGCGACGTGCGGCGCGGCCAGCAAGTCGGCGGCCGCGCTGCGCTCGCACGCGCGCAGCCACGCCGCGCCGCGCCACGCCTGCGTCACGTGCGGCGCGCGCTTCAAGCGGCGCGCCGAGCTGGCGGCGCACCTGTCCGTGCACTCCGGGGAGCGCCCGCACGCGTGTGTCTGCGGCCGCACGTTCCGCCTGCGCGCGCAGCTCACCGCGCATGCGCGCACTCATGCACCGCACCCACCGCCCGCGCCCCCGCACGCCTAGTCGATCTCTTTCGGATATTGCGAAAAGAAAATAAGGAACCAGGAAACAAGAAACTCGCACCGCGCCTGTATATTTGTAGCAAAACGAATCCCACGCGTATGCCTTTAGAAAAAGATAATAAAGTATTAAATATTCATATTTCGTCCTCAGTTAAGTTCGACTTAAAACTATGAAGATTATCGAATATTAGCGAGTGGATAGATAGAAACACTAATATGGTACGATCCTAAGGTAACAATATACACAACAGAAAAAGCATTCAGTTGAGCTGGCCCACGAGATGCATTGCAGGCACTTTGTTGCAGGTACTCAGACATGGCACAGTACCGAGTAGAGGCCCCGCCGCAGTACAGGCCGGCCAGCCCGCGCGCCTGCGACTACTGCCGCTGGCGCGCGCGCGACCAGGCGCACTACAAGGAGCACCTCATCACGGCGCACTCCGACCTGTTGTTCTACTGCGAGGAGTGCGACAAGTACGTCAGTAGGAAGGACTTCATCCTGCACATGTCGCTGCACGCCACGCAGTACACCGGCCAGGACAAGACTGTTAAACGGAAGAAAATTAGGAAGAAAGAAGACGATGACGATCTAAGTAATAGTGAACTACGAAAAAGTACAGAAGACTTAGATTCAGCGAGCGAGAGAATAAACAACAGCGAGAATAGCAACCAAGAAAATGAGTTTTCGGACCACAGCGATATGGATTATGAGTTTGGACCTCTGCCCGAGTCCGTGTTTGAAGCTATAGAAGACTCGCAAGATAGCCAGCTGCTGGAAAACGATGAAAATAATACTGCCGAGAATGGCCGCGTGAGCGACGAATCCAACAAGACGATCCGACTTACTATCGAAAGTAATACTATTAGTAACATTAGCAATACTATAACCAGTACGGAGATGCATAGCCTCGGCAGTTGTGCGGTAACTATAGAACATAATAGCACTCTGTCTGTAACTGTAAGTAGCAATGTCATAGCACATGATACAACAGCTAATGAAGATAGTAGTAACAGTGGTGCAAAAACACCTGACAGTACTGCCACTGCGCCAGTAGAAGAAAGCGACAACAGTAAAAAGCAATACCAGCACAAGAAGATTCGCACATGTCCTATCTGCGCGAAGGTATACACCGCGTCGTCCAGTTATTTCTACCACATGAAATACTTCCATAAAGGAAGCAGAGAACACGAATGCGAAGTATGTGGGAAAAAATTCACAACTAAACCCAGTTTGACACAACACATGGCCATCCACAATGGACAGTACGACTTGCAGTGCAAAGTGTGTGAAAAGAAATTTAAATTTAAAGCAAGTCTTTATATACACGAACAGACTCACAATGGAAAAAAAGTATGGTCGTGTAACCAATGCCACAGGTCGTTTAGATGGAGGACACATCTGACGAGACATATGAAAAGGCACGCGTCGGAGAAAACTCATGTCTGTGCTATCTGCGGCCGCGGGTTCAATATTCGGTGTGACTTACTGAGACATGCGCGTACGCACACCGTAGGAAACTTCTCTTGTGATAAATGTGGACAGAAGTTTGCTCAACTGCGATACTTGAAAGTCCACATCGCTAGGCAACACTCAATAAATATTGTGAAAGAATCTCTGTAAAGACTGATTTTGCTTTTAGTAATAATTTTGTAGTAAATGTAATAAAAGTCACTAATGTTTAAATCATGCAAAAATATTGCAATCAGGCTCTCGTATTATGAGCATGCTTAGATTTTGATAATAGTGAATTACAAAAATTAAACAAAAAATTAATTCAACTTGTGTTTAATTGCATTCATATACCTATAATATTAATATCGCTCTTGATTGAGGTCATTGACCGTTACCTCTTTTTAATAGTTTAATTGATCTGTTGAGATATTTATGAAATACAAAGGTAAAAATGATATTTTAGTGTATTTAATAACTTGTGGAATAATAATAATTTAATCACGAGTAAATGAATTATTTATCATAATACTATACATGCCACAGCACATAACTCGAAATGACATAACATAATCGTTTAAGTTAGAACTTAAAAGTAAGCATTATAAATCAAAAGCATTTAATTAAAAACTATAAATAGATTTTTGCTCTAACTTTTAATTGAAGTATTAAATTTCAATTAAAGAAAATCCTTACAAAATGCAATTTAATTTTTAAACGAACGATATGTGATTATACCAACACATGTTTTACTTTACTATCAAAATATCAATAAGTTACTGTGATTTAAACAATTACACTTTCTAACGACAATTTTTTCTACATTTATACATCACTAGCTTTTACCCGCGGCTTCGCTCGCGTCACAAAAGAATAAAAAGTAGCCTATGTGACATATACAAATACACTCAGCGCCATCTATACCAATAATTTCGTTTTCCCTCGAGAATATCAATTTTTCCGGGATAAAAAGTACCCTATTATTTAATCCAGACTTCTAACTTCACGTCTGCAAAAATTCAAAGCAATCGGTTGAGTAGTTACGGCGTGAAGGTGGAACAAACAAACAAACAAACAAACTCACTTTCAGATTTATAATATTAGTAAGGACTAGCTTTTACCCGCGGCTTCGCTCGCGTCACAAAAGAATAAAAAGTAGCCTATGTGACATATACAAATACACTCAGCGCCATCTTTACCAATAATTTCGTTTTCCCTCGAGAATATCAATTTTTCCGGGATAAAAAGTACCCTATTATTTAATCCAGACTTCTAACTTCACGTCTGCAAAAATTCAAAGCAATCGGTTGAGTAGTTACGGCGTGAAGGTGGAACAAACAAACAAACAAACAAACTCACTTTCAGATTTATAATATTAGTAAGGATTGCATAGATTCGATTAAAAGTGAACATATTGCAAACAAATTATTATCAAATTTTGACACAGCTCTGCAGCTAAACGTTTTATTTCGCAATTTGAAAACATTATCACAGTCTTTTAGAGTAGGTACTCATTTCTCAAAACGAATGGATTGTACAGCTACAGCATATTGTTGTTTATTTTAAAACATTTTAAATTGGAAGAGTTATCCAAAAAAGTAATAATTTCAAACTTATCCTAAACAAGTAAGTATTACTTGTTGCATTTTCAGAGCAACAAGTAACTTCAGATTACAAAATTTTCAGTATTAAAAAGGCAAGTAAATAATTTATTCTTTAAGTTAACATAATAACTGTATCATCTATTTCGCAAAAGGTATCTTTTATATCTAACAACATCTTATTTAATATTCAGAACAAAAACAATGCATAAAAGCATCTATTTGTACAAAACAAACTGGAAATTAAATTATTATCACATACATACAATGTCATATCCTACACATACATCGTCAGTACCATATCCAAACTTTAGTATAATATTTATTAATTTGGTTGGTTGAAAAATTAAAATTCATTCACGAATAATAATTTTATTCATTAGCTGTTTTTGTATTGATGTTATTATATCCTATGGATGGATGAAATATTTATTTTCCTTTCATTTATAAATATCTTTTTAATTTACATTTACATAATTAATCCAAATTAACACTTTTAATTTTCAATAGTTAAATCTGTAATCCCCCCACATTTTGCCTCACTAGCCTACCTCATCCTATCAATAACAATCAGTTCATAATCAGCCTTGTGACCGCACCTGTTGTAAGTGAGACAGATACAAAGCTCAATGTTCATGGATTTAACTCTATGGCAGAATAATTTAACAACTATCTCGCTTCAATAATTATTAACTGATGCTGAAATATTTAGCTTTGTAATTATTCCCAAAGATTGTTCAATAAATATACGATTCTTAGATAATACTCCTCTTAAATATTGAGTTTCTGATAGTTCACAATATTCTAATCTATTGAGCTATGTCAATGGGTGGTGTGGAACGACCATCTTGTGTTGTTGGGGAGCCACTTTCGTTTACGAGTCGCTGTCTCTCACGGTACATGGATACCTGGATATTCTCTAGTTGATGATACCGACACACCTTGATTGTTGAGAATACTGCCAGTCCCACCCAAGTCGCAAATGTGGCCCATGATCCGAACTAGACAAAAATAAATCAATTTTATAAAATAGAACTTTTATCTTTAAATAAGACAGAGCAGGGAGCAAAATGCCTAAAAGCAATTTATATCCCATTTTATTACCTGTGCTGAGCCAATTTCTATATAAAACCCACTAGTTGTAATGTTATCTTTGATGTCTATGATCTGACCAGCTGCATATTCACAACTGAAATAAAAGACAATTAAATATATATTAATGTAGGCAATTTTTATAATTAATCAACAACCACAATACTTTGAAAATATAGCATTTTAACTACATATTTGATAGACTTGATCATACAAAGGTAGTCTTTACAGATCAGAAAATAATGTCTATAATGGAGTAGGAATTGGAGGATTTAGAAGCAAATACTACACAATCATTTCAAAATAATAACAAAGATTGCACTGGCATACATATACATACCTTGGGAACCGCTCAACAATATTCTGACACCATGTCATAAAGCCAAGTGTAACCATCACAGCAGCAGATACTGCCAGGCCACAGAGTAGAATACAACCCACTGCTTCTAGAAATGCTGACAGGAATGAACTGTCTATGCCCTTGTACATGAACATAGACAACCTGAGGAAAATCACCACATTTATATTATAGTTAAAAAAACATGCTTTATTGCTATGTGTGATATGCTACAGGAAATAATTACTCATATCCTTTTACAATCTGAGTTCATGGAATACTACTTTTTTTACAACTATACCAAACCATAACAATACATTAAATAATGTTGCTCAGTATAAAACTTGAATAGCAGCACTTATTTCAATAATACTTTTTTCATTTGACTTCATGAACAGCAAATAAAAAAAGTATGACCTTGATTTGTTTACCTAATTCAAGCCCGTAACATTAGTAGCCCTATCTTTATTTTATTACAAATTACAATGAAATTGCACAATGACTTTATTAGTATTGAATGTCAAGTTTTATCACACATAGTTGATAGTTGTTACAAAAACAAGTCATAGTCTACAAATACTATTTAATGTATGTTATAACAAGGGAGCACTGACCTGTAGATCTGAACGCAGCATACAAGGAAAATGAGAACTCCGACTACTATGACATAGTCGCAGTAAGCTCTTGGTGCCCAGGATACCAGCAGCTGACCATTCTCCTGCCACTCACCATGGGAGAACAGCAGACAGTGACCACTGATGACAATGTTTATTACATACAGTACTTACTGCTATACATAATGTAAAGCTTAGATATAAAGTACAAAGTAACTACTTGTACCATTTTATAACCATAATAATTTGTTAAATGTGCAAACAAATCAATCATAAACTTAGTATTTAAATTGCATTTGAAGAAGTCTAGGCATTTAAATAACAATCGAGTCAACCAGTGTCATAATATTACAATCAGGAAAATTGGATTTTATTTTACAAATCAAAGTACCTACTACATAAAATACCAATAATATATATGATTAAAATAAGAATAAAAAGGAAGATTAAATATTTACAACTTAAAAAATCAAAGTATTATACTAAAATCGCCAAATAAAGAGGTAGGTAGTAGGCAATAACTAGAACAATTAGAATTTCCAACTTACTTGAATTCCTCTTGGTGTAAGCTCATAGGCACTATCATACATAGTGACAGTATGAACCCCACCAGGTAGCCCGCTATTTGGCTCAGCAGCAGCACGTTCGTCAGAGCCATCACATTAATTTAAGCAATCACGAATTTATCTCAATTGCTAATACAATATTTTGTACTCAGATGAATGGTGTGAATTATTATTTTACATAGAATGAGGAAAATACAAAACAAAGCTGACGTTTAGGACCTTCGCAGTTCGTACGAATGACAGTTGTATGACAATGTTTTGATATTTCATGTTAACATTCGCTTCGTTAACAACAATATGACATAACGTTATATTTTAATTTTTATAATTCGTAGTCAGTAGAACTCTTGGTCTTGACGTATTTTATGAAGATATAAATATTTATAAAAAACATCTTCTACTAGCTACAATAAAAAACACAAAACAACATTTCGTTGCGATACATACAGTGTAAGTGTCAGTTACAGAAAAGATGAAATAAACGCACGAATGCATAAATATGAATCTTTTATCAAACGACATTTCTAGTTACCTAGTAGACGTGGTTGACTTTATTGAAATGAAAAAAATATATTTCAAAATAATATTAAAATAATAATAAAATTTTAATTATTTATGTTTATACATAAAAAACTTCCCACTTGAGGCAACAAGATGTAAATGTCAAATTGTGACAAATCTGACGTTGGTGATGTGTTTCAATCAGTGGTGGAATTAGAAATAAATCGTGTTAATTGAAGAACTTTACTATGTCATTGCCTTCCTATTAGACTGATTGCAGAATAAAATAATGAATTTCAACGCTTCCAGAAATGGTATGGTTTCATATCTGTATAAACAACATTGTCACCCTGTTACCGACTTGCTGTAACAAAATCTGACCGTATTTAGCAATAAAACATAAAGTTCTCTTTTAATTACTGTGAATTAATGCCCTTATAATTATAAATAACCAAATACTCGACCCTCTTCTTTGAAAACATTATTAAATTATGATTTTATCCCTATTTGATTTCAAACTTCTGTGTAAGGCTTGCTTCACAACAGCGCTTGTTGTTACATCTTACTTACAGACTAAGTACTTCTCAACACTTTTTATTAATACACGAAGCTTACTAAACGGCTATGTGGTCATCAAGTTAATGACAAGTATAAATAATATGTGATGTGTTGTGATGTATGTTTGTAGTGGGCCAGGGTGGTGGAATCCGTAAGGCCAAGCGAGTTAGCGATGTAGCAGCGATGGGGGCGCCGTCGCCCAGTCCTGCCTTCAGCCCCGCACCAGCATACAATGCAGGGTTCCAGCCTGCGGGCCCCCCTCCACCATATCAAGAAGGGATTCAATTAGATGCCTCACAAGACTTTAGCAATGCAGCACCTCCACCTGGAAGTAAGTTCTAATCACTGTGATGCAATTTAACTTTGAGTTTATATAAGTTTACAAGTGATATTAATTGTTCAGCGTGCACTGATTGGATAGTGATTGCTCTTGACATCATCATCAATCATGAAGCAAAAATGTAGTTATTCATCAAGAAAGTACAAAAAATGTGTGTATTTCAGATTTTGGTTACATGGGTGGGTACCCTCAGACCCCTATGGTGAACCCAGCCCAGTTGGGGTCAATGCTGCACCAACCCATTGTGCAGGTATGACATTTGAAACTTATAGACTGAACTATTCTTATAAGAATTCATTCTGATTAGATTTTGATGAGTGAGTGATCATTTGAAATGGAACCATAATAATTAAAGATGTACCATAAATTTAAAAATTCAACACACATAACATAAAAATTGTACATGCTCTACTTCCACCAGTTGTACCTGCTCTAATTACCTATCATGTACACTCACCCAGCATTTTGTATGAAGGACTTTTAACTTAGAAACTTTTTTGTCTTGTTCTGTGATAAACGGGAGTTGAATTCAAAATTTTGAACTGCACGGTTGGTGCGGTGGCTGGGCAACCAGCTGCGGGTTCGATTCCCGCACGGGACAACACTTTGTGTGATCCACAAATTGTTGTTTCGGGTCTGGGTGTTATTGTGTATGTGAACTTGTATGTTTGTAAACGCACCCACGACACAGGAGACAATCCTAGTGAGGGGCAACGTTTAAAAAAAAAAAAAAAAAAAGTATCGACGATTAGTGAAAGTTACCATAGCCATTGGCCATTTGTATGAGAACCATTTTTATAACCACTTAGTATAAAATAATCAGTAAATATGATATCCTCTTCCCAGGATATGGCTCTGCAGTACGGCAATCAGTTGGCAGCGCAGGGCCGCGAGGCAGTGCAGCGGGAGATAAACAAATATGTCCCGGTTTCACGCCTGAGATACTACTTCGCGGTGGACACACGGTATGTGCTGCGGAAGTTGCTGCTCATCATATTCCCCTACACACATAAGGTAAGACTAGTGTAATAGACAGATTAGTTTTGCACACCCACTTGTAATAACGAAACATTATCATTTTGTTTGAGTTGAATAAAATCTGAGACTACCATTACAGTACTGTGTATTTTGATTTTGTATTTTGACTTTTGATTGTTTGTATCAATTTTACAGAAGAAAATATTACATTCTACAAGATTGATTGATGCAATGTGATTTATATTGCATATTATTTAGTTTCATTTTGTCAATTATTATAGGGAATTTTAAGTTTTATAGGGAATTGGGTGATATTTTTTTATATTTGATGGGCAGACGTTTGGCCGCTCTCTCTCTCTCTCTCTGGTAAGCAACAAGTAAGTTGTAGTATTAAACTCAGTATTGAATTCCCTCAGGAATGGATGGTGAAATACGACCAGGACACGCCGGTGCAGCCTCGCTACGACATCAACGCGCCGGACCTGTACATACCCTCCATGGGTTACGTCACATATGTACTGCTTGCTGGATTCATGTTAGGTAAATATTAGTTATGATCAAGTAAACGTCTACCGCTCTGCTACTGCCTATTAAACCTGTGGAAAAATACTCATTACTGGAATCACCTAATACTCATCATAAAGTTTTACATGTTCAATGACATTTTACAATCACCTCATGTTCGAACCTTGTAAGTCTCGAGTAGCGAGTTACTACGCCAGTACATTGAAATTGGAAACAAAGTAAGTATTATCGCCACCGGAAATATCACACGACAGCTGCTATAATAGTAATCTGTGTTGTGATTATGCAAAGTCAAAGTTCAGACACTACAGTAAAAAGTTTTATTGAAATTAGGTGGTGGTGATAACAAACGTTATTTATGTTATTATTAATAAACATACTTTACTTCTAGGTCTGCAGCATAGGTTCTCTCCAGAACAGATAGGCATGCAGGCATCCTCGGCGCTAGCATACATAATCTTCGAGATGATCATGTACCTGGTCACCTTGTACGTCACCAACACCAGCACACACCTGAAGACGCTGGACCTGCTGGCCTTCTCCGGGTACAAGTACATCATCATGATCGGCAGTCTACTGGCCAGTCTCATGCTAGGCAGGACTGGCTACTACTGCACTCTGGTGTACACCAGTTTTGCGTTGTCTTATTTCTTGGTGAGTTCATTGCACCAAGTTCTCTTTGTTTTTATTATTTTCTAAGTAAAATTTGTTGAGTGTTGCTATAATTTAACTTGTATTGCAGGTGAAGACTCTCCGACTACAAGTACTATCAGGGTCGCACGCGAGCGAGGCGGCGGCGGCGCCGGCGTACGGGTACGGCGCGGGCGGGTACAGCGCCAACCCGTACGCGGACAGTTGGAGCAAGCCGGCGGCGGGCGGCAGCAAGCGGCGCGTGTACTTCTTGTTGTTCGTGGCCCTCATGCAGCCGCTGCTGTCGTGGTGGCTGACGTACCACCTGGCGCCCTCAGCGCCCACAGTCGCAGCGACGCTGGCGCCCGGAGTGGCGGCGCCCCTGTCCCCCGCGCGATAGCGGCGCCCTCTAGCCACAGAGCGGGTTCTCACTGTTCTCCTACATTGTTATACATGCATTTTTTACTCGGTAAATGTGGGCTTATCGGTTATACACATTATTTCATCGATTGGTACAAAGCTGACAGTGACTTGTGAAGCGTTGACCCGGTATCCAGTGTGCACAAACAAATACATTATGTAATATGGCATAGGCAATGACATGTTGCAGCTATTTCTCGTTCATCTCCAATAAATCATGTTTCATCCAGAATTTTAATAGACTGCAATGTGAATGTACAATTTTCCAAGTAGAAATAAATAAATTATGAATGGAACCAATTTAATAGTTGTCATGGAACAGTGGGAGCCCGCCACTGTGTACGCTGATACATCGTGTTACTCCCATCCCCACTCCTCCTTTTTACATTACTGGGGGATGAACCTGTAACACGTTGTGGCAGTGCCTAGTCTTAAACAAATTATGAAAGTTTTGTAAATACAAATATTATATTGATTTTATAATGCCTCATTGTGCAGTTTCGTAACACTTTCTGTCTCTGTATTATAGTAAGAAGGAATATATAACTCTAATTTCTTAGTTATTTAAACTAAAAATATTGTACTTAATTCCAGGTCAAAGTAATCAGATTTATATCATCAGTATCAAACAATATGCAATTTTTGGCATTATAGATGAGAGGTAGAAAACGTTACAAAACTATATTCCTATCTACAAATATGACCGTAATTTTATACTTACCACAAGTCCAGTGTTTGCCTGTCTTTCATTTATGTCATTCCTTTCCTGTCATCTGGTCTAACTGCCGTACTCGGGGACATTTAGTGACTATTTAAACTATTGTTAAGGAACTATTTAGTTCCGAAAACAATAGGTTAGTACACAGCGTATGAAAATTAAAAATGTAATTAATCCGTCACTAAGATAATGAAAAAATATTAGACACTTATTTTTTATTTTGCCGTATAAGAAAACAATACTTTGATGAAACAGAGTTAAGTTTAGGAGTGGGAGGTCGTTACGTCAAGCTACCCTATAAAAAGTAGTAAATCGTGACGTCACATGATATTTCAAATCAATATTTCGTCCAAAGTATTTAATTTTGTAAGAAAAGAAAAAATACGTGTCTAATGTTTTAAAATAATCTACCAGACGGACATTAAAACAAATTTATGATACTACCCTATTGCTAAAGCCTGGGTTAAGTAACGACTCACTCAACTCACTCGTGAGTGCGGCAGTTAGTGTTTCCTTACTGTGTAACTAATATACCTTCCTTCCAAAGCTTCTATTGTGTTATATTTCGGGATTTTTTCTAACAATTACGACGCACGCCTGCCTATCTAGTGACACATTTCTGGGATCAATAAATGTATATTACCTTCTTTATCTTTGAAAGATTTACGTTCCATGAGAAAACCATTGAATTTATCTACAACGAATCTTGGTTTTAAATTGTTTTTAGGTTTCAATTCACAAGGTACTTTGAATTAAATTTCATGGGATTCCTGATAGTCGCTCTTATGTCCTAGTAAATATAACAAATATATTATGTAACTAATTGTTTCGATATAAATGTTACCAAGTATATAATCAAGTACAAAGTTGACATCACATAAGATTAACGCGGTGCAATTGTCATATTTTTTATTGTTGATGGACATAACAGGTTAAATAATAAATACCCTGTAATCCCTATATCACAGACACGCAGGCAGTGCTGAGCATACTAAAATATCCCAGAAAGTGTATAATCTCTTCTCGATATTATTTTACGATGGTTCTTATAATTTATTCGATACAATGAGACGTCTAGCGTCAGTCAGCGTAGTAATACCATATCGATAGTACTGAGCACATACAGCCGGGCTGTAACGTGCAGTGAACGAGAATTTTGTACTAATTCAATGCAATATTAAAGGCTAGTTTTGTATTCCATGTTGTCTATCATTTTATTCCTATCCTGTCCTACCACTTCCTCAACCATACCTGAGGATAGTGTGGCAAACTTATCTTATAATGGATCTGCAATCCCAGAAGAAGTTCCAAACGCGTTGCCGACATTTTGAGCGAGGGTGAGGCTGTATTGTGCACAGTTTATGCCTATAATGCTCTTCCACGATCAACACAACTTTCGTAACATAGATAAAAACTCGATGTCTAGTCATCTAAACGCCCAAACTCAAATATTTTTATTTAAGTCGGTCTTTAATATTTTACCCGTGGTGTTAGTGTGAGTTTCGCATTATCTTGTGAAAGTACCGACATAAAAATATTGATATTATTAGTAAAATAAAAACGCTAGCGAGGGTAGGTGATAAGTCTCTTTCTTCTGAGTGGTCTCATCATCCATGTTCGTGATTATTTCTCCGATAATTCTCGGTTAATCAAGTTTATATTCACTAAATTAAGTACATAAGTAATAAGTAATAACAGTACTAAATCAAGTAACAATATTAAATCCGTGCGAATACCTTATTTTAGTGACTTTGTGGTGGTTGTTTGCGCACGTTCTGTGAAGTGCAGTGCCTGAAATCCTGACATCATGTACAAGGAAATGTATTACTTTTACCAGCCGGAACATATGGAATGTAGGTTAATGGTAAGCATACATTAACACTAACCACCTCTAGTTTAGAAGTTTCTTTAACATTGACGAAGCATGCGTTATTTAATCTGCCACGATAGAAATACATGTGGTCCTGCAAAGTTCAAGAAATAAAAGTGTCGATCTCATACTTTTCGGTTTTTTTACATATATTGAGTACTCTTGAGATAAAAGCAAATTTTACCCTCAATTATTCTGAAACTATCGACATATTACAAAAGGGTCATAAGGATTAATATTTTTTACGAATGAACGTTTTAACGAGAATAGCTCATCGTCTTTACTATAAGTGATTGCAACCTGATTACCACTGAGGTAGCTCCAGTTTATTTTTTTTTTATGCGGTGATGATGACAGCAGATAAATAATAATCATTAACATTAGGCACAGGTACCTATACGTAATCTGTAGGAGAGTATTCAAAGAAACAATTTTCTTTTTCATAATAGTTTGGGTTGTGCTTGTGGGTGAATGGTGATAATTCGGGCAGTGGCACGGTGGTTCGTGACTGATTTAAACACGTTTGACACGCACCCCGGCACTCCAGCCGCTGTGGGCGGGGCCGGTGGGCCGCCGCAATCACTGCGACCTTCTTTGTCTAATGGCTTACGAAACGCTCACTATCACACGACAGACTACTAAACAACATAATTTCGACACGATTTATTCAAAATTTTCATTATTTTAATTGAAATCTACGTACATACTTAGACTATTTGCAGTTTTTACTTGAGAATGCTGTGCAATGCAAGTGTATGCCACCTTCAACAAACAAGGTACTTACTAGCTAAGTAGGTATGCATAATCTAATTAGAGCAATTTACAATTTTGGTAACAGTGTAATGCGTTAATTGGTTTCTTCAGATCTTGAGGTCAGAGAACTGTGGTCATAAATAATTATGGAGGTGGATATTACATTATTAAATAATACATCTTACCAAAACTACTCAATACCTACTTTATTGCTTTCCACATGTATTACTTAGGTTCTACTATAATAGGCTCGTCCCTATTCCTATATGAAACTTATAAGCTTATAACATAGCACGTGACAAGCCTCTGCCTACTCTTTACGGGCTCAAAAGGCGTGATGTTGTGTATTTGTAATCGGTCATAGAAGTAGGAGGGTAACGTGCCTGCTACTATAATGCACAACTAGAACCCATTTAGGCCATTACCCATTTAGAATTAAAATGTTATCATTGTTACGTCAATATTCTATCGTTAGGTACTAGCATATTTATGCCATTATATTACCTACTCCTCTACCTACTAATGTAAACAAATATCGAAATGTATTTTCAGACGAGTTTAATAAGTAAGGTTTATCATTTTAGATAAAAGATGGCGCTTCGGTTTGCCCGCAATGCGCTACGTAGGTAGGAGCTATGCGGCAAATAATTCAACACTATTCCGATTTCATAAAAATTATCATCATAGTGGATAATAAATACTTTTGAGCAAGAAATAATAACATAATAATACGATGGAGATTCGAGTTGAAAAATCATTTTTTTTTTACCGGTGAAATTAAGGATAATTTTACTAAAGGATAGCTAGGATATGCGCTATAGATTCATATTAGATTCGAACAGTTTCTCATTTCTATATGACCTAAAATCCTGATCTAGTTGCAGAAATGAGATAGAAATAGTTACCTTGTGCCTTGACCTAGTTTTTAGACCTAACTATTTTGCTAGGTCTCCGAAAGGCGCTATTTAAATATTTTTTTTAATTCAAAAGTAAAAAATTTTTCTTTACTTTTGACTTGGCATATCTGTTTGTTGATTTCTTCAAAAATAAGAAACACATTTTCAAATTAAAATTTCTTTTTTTTAATAACTGATAATTATTTAAAGATTTTTAATTTACAAAAACATTATTAATATACAATATTATTTTCTTTGTAGACTAATCTTCTAATACGTTATGCGCTAATTCGTAATTTTGTTTTTTTATATTTCGCGCACAATCATGACTGTAATGGAACATGTATGAAGTTATCAACAAATTCTGATTGGTCTATAAACGACCTTGGCGCATTATGTTTTTATAGTGATGAGCCTCTTTTGACACAACTATGCAGAGCTGAATCGATAAAAGTTACATAATTTACACCAATCTATATCATCTATTCATCTCTGAGAATCCGTGTCATCTCCTATGTTTTAAATAGAAAAATATAGTTATTTGTTTGTGATCCGTAGCAAGCAATAAGCAACGCAAAATGTACGTGATAAAACTAGCTATTCTTTAGTCGCGTTCAACGTTCAATTCAAGTAATACTTACTTATTATATTTTTGTCAAAAAATTAAAAGTTATACAAATACATTATAAATCATTATTTGCCTGGTTTTGTCACATTTGCTAGTTTATCGAAAAAAAATATAGGTAAACAGCTCATGTTTAAAAAACTAGCTATCACGTTTCATAAATACAGCCGGTTGACAGGCATACAGATGGATAGAGATCGAAGTCTTAATAATATGATTCAGTTTTTATCCTTTGCATATGGAACCCTAAGAAATGTACTACCATGCACCAAAAATTTGGTATGTATTCATATTAAAAAAGAGCAATATGAATGGAAATCGAGTAATCGATATATCAACTCAAGCTCACAGCACTAAGGCAATCAGCTGGTCACTGTCATTATACAGGGGAGCCAACAGAACGGCGTGACATTCGCAGCTAGCTTCACGTTGACTGTGCTCCACAAACAGCCGCAGTATCGACAAACGTTCACAAAACGTTTAGACGTAACAACCATAGTGTCACTTCTCTTCTTATTTCATTAACTACACCATTCAAAACTTCAATTTTCCTTCGTTTTTAGTTGTATAAGTGTTAAGTGTTACCGTTATTATGTTAAAGTAATTCATAGTGCCGCATAATCGTACATATTTTCAAGCAATTACGTAATGGGAATTATGCTAGACAAGTTTAAAGTTTTGCCCTGAAATTCAACATGGCCGCTGACACAGGGATGGATACTTGCCCCAGTCCGGAAATCACGGACTCGAGGAAACGGCCGCTCGACGGCGACTCGGAAAATGGAGACGTAAAGCGATCACACTTTAGCTCGGGTGAGTGGCGTACTATTTACCTGCACACTATACATAGATATGTACCTAGTTGTCTTTACTTCATTGCGTACTTGGCAAGGCGGGCATAACATTGACACAACGAACTTGTGGTCGATTAAGCCGCTCGCAGCTGGACTCCAATTAGATTCTTATCAGAACACACTGCTGTTATCATTTTGACCTATTTTTCTGTGATTGTGAGGTCATAATGTATCGAAATATTTAACTTGAAAAGAATACTATTTAGATAAAAGTTGTTCTGTGTAGTTAATGCCGCTTTATTGCTGTAATATAACGAGTATAATTCCGTTGATAAGTTTGAAGAATTATAGGCACAATAATTATCAGAGTAATTTCGCCGTACGTTTGATAAGACACGGGGACGGCTGGGCCGGCTGCCTCATGAATAGTATGAATTTATGCAATGTTAAAAGATAGTCGTTGTTTTTTAGTGCAAGACTTGGTGACCGCATTGCCTCTGGCCAACGGCCATGGCAATATTACGTCTCATTTCGGTGAGTCGACAGTCAACGCATATGTTCCCTCATCGGCTTTGTGGTTGTTGCGGCGCGCATGCCTCACGCGCGCACTCTCTCGCGCTCATCACCTCTGCTGATGTCCACCCGCCTTCATGCAGTACCACTCGATCACATTGCATCACTCCTATAATATCTCCTAACCATTCACATAAGAATCTTACTAGACGCCAATAAAACCAATTGACCTATCTGTAGCTACTCTCACTAGACTTTGTAATTGGTACACCAATACACCAATTTGATAGGACCTCGAAACTTTGAGTAGACCCTAGAGGCCTTATTAACAGTTGTAGATAAAAATATTAAGCAATGTAGGTCATTGCCTAATCAACTAATAATGTAGTGAACTTTTTGCATAAAAATAGTTGCAAAATATTAATAAATCATGCTTGTAAAATTGTGCAAAATCATTGATCATAAAGATTTCTATGTCAGAATCTTATAAGTTTAATAAACTTAGATGTTCTCTTTGTTATATTTATGTCTTAATGTTACAAATTGTCCACGATTTAGTAGTGTATCACATCAGCAGAGTGTGAGCGGGCAGCGTAGGTGTTAGCGTTTATCGTTAAATCGTCCATCGTGCACAGTATACATTGCCTCGTTGTCGTGAGCCATGTCGTACTTAGCCTCACAGATCCACCCATGGCTTAGTCGTTGCATTGTTGGTGTGAACATCCACTTCAATGTACAGAACTTCTACCATTTATTATTTTGGTGTATTCTTCTCATTCTTCTTCTTCTTTGACAAAAAGTGTTTATTTTTTGCTTTAATTTTTATTGGCTTAAACGAAAACTAACAAATTGGAATAATTAAATTAACATTATTTATTTGCATTATCAAAACCATTAAAAATTGATACACAAGTAATATAGATTGGCACTTTATCACCACCATTAAGAATCTTATTAGCTTAAGTATATGATTACATGTTGCTATCTGGATTACAAGGTAAACTATATGTCTGTGACTTGATCACTGCTATAAATGTGATCTACTGCCTACCTTGAGCATCTGTAATCTGTAGATGGTACACTGTCTATCATTAACAAAGGTACCTAAACAGGTACTGTACTGTGTTGTATGGGTTTGAAACATCATTGGCTTTTAATGTGCAGTATTCTAAGACAGTATCAAAATTTCGGATAGTTGTGACGTCCAAAAAACCAGACTTGAGGGACGCGTCAATATTACGTTTTGTTGGTTTAGTGTTAAAATGGCTAGTGCTAGAAACTTTAAGCATTGATGAGATGAGCATCATCGCTTACCACCAGGCGAGATAGTGGTCAAACGTCGACCCATCAATTATAAAAAAAAAATGTTCTGCCACCACACTTCTGAAAATATTCCACAGTTCTTCAACACGGATATGCAACTTTATGCGACATGGCGAAATCACGATAACACTACTGATACGATAAACAACATGCTGTATTAACTAACATTAAGTAATACTTCAAATAGTATAAAAATGGCTATATTTTTCGTGGAAAACAATTTCTACTTCGAGCCCCGAAGTTTTAGTCTAATATTGGTGGTATTCACAACATACATATATTACTATAGTGTTCCTTGCACACAAATCACACAATAGATACTAATGTACAAATTCACCGATATGTCCGTATTCGGACACTTACGTAATATAAGTGAGAATATTATCGGTACGTAAATTAAAAGCAATAACTTTAACTATGTGAAGGTCTTGCTGACACCAGATTGATGACAAGCAAGGTCATTACCGGTACTGACTGCACATTTTGCCTCGCTAAGTCATTGTAAACTTAATATCTTTGCGTTAGAGTGTATTGTCTATCGTAGAGCGTTTGATTAGCCTGAAGGTTAGAAGCAATTTGTCAAGTGTTGTCTCGGGTGACGTGTCGAATGTTTACACAATGTAACATGTTGGTTTAGATCGTGTAAACTGCTTCAGCTGTTACTTGATCTAAATGCTTTGTTCGACGAAATGGATTTTCTTTCATCAATAGTTCTCGACCAGAAACGTTTATTGATTGTTCAAAGTGATAGAGAGAACAACAGTTAATTTAATTCTTTCTCTTTAAAGCAAATACAGTTGAACATGTATGCATACAAATGAACTCCATAATCGATAACAAGTCCGCACGTACGTAAACCAATATTGTAATCATTTATTTAAAGAATTTAAAACGCGCACCTTCAATTAGTACATTTTTAATGTGCGGTTATGATAGTTAATTAATTAATTTTATGAAACTAATGTGCTCGCCACAGCGCACATAATTACCGCACTTCCTCTGCTCGGTTCGTCGACAGCGCCCGAGGTAACCACACATACTAAATGTCAAGGGAATTATAACATTTTTGGTTGCACAATAATTAATAACTACACGCTTAGATAGTCGAAAGGTAATTCAAATAAACATTTTCTTTATTAGTCTTCCATAAAATAAATAAAAAATATTCGGAGCGAACCAAAATAAATAGAGGTTAGACAGGCGTATTTAATATCGGTCTAAATGTTGACAGAAATTGTTTACATATTTTCCAACCGTGACGAAACCGTATTTATACGAAACATTCATGATTTAATTTTACATATTTTATGAGAATATTAAAACGCCCAACATGCCGCTTCGCTACGCAGAGGAAGGCAAAGAGTAAGAGCATTTTATAGGAAAGCTTACGCTACGATTTCGTTTACGATTGAATATTTACTACTGGGTTATATTCCTTGTGATTTATAGGTCATAAGTATATTGTATAATCTAACTTTATTGTTTTGTATTCCATCCCCTACCTAAACATTAGATACGAAATTCATGCCGCAAAAGTCCAACCCAGAGTTAACAAACAAACGATCCGTCAGCTGTAAATGTACTAGTTATAGAGTAGATGTGGGTTACATATCAATGTGTTAGAACAATATGGAGATATTTTTCAGATAATCAAGCACCTTCATGGGACAGCTGCGCAGGTGTTAATTCAAATTTCAGATTGATATGAAAATACCAACTGAAAATGTTTTATAATAAAAGTTGTTCGGTTGCGTGACATTCGCATCGCAAAATATAACGATGTCGTGATGAGCTTTAACTTCAGCCAAAGTACACTTTTTAGTTTTTATTATACCTTTATCGTGCCGTTTATTATATTTAAACAAACTTTGTGATCAACATCAAAGGGATATCGTTCTTGTATTTCATAGCAAAACTCGCAAATTGTTCGCATTTCCGGACGAGAAACTCCCCTGCCATCCGGATCGAATACGACTGAGTAAAACCGCACGGATCGAAATTGTGGTCAGGTTCCGGGAATCTAGTAACCGTAGCTATTTCCGAGACCCTGGATATTGAGAACAGGGTGTGAGATAGCCACGTGACGTATCTTGCAAGAGACAAACTGTTAGCAACAGTGGCTCGCAACACAAACCTAACAACCAATTAACATTAAACCGTTTAACGATGTATGATAAACACAAGAGCCCGTATGATAAGTTCGTAACTGCGAGCAAACAGGCCGCTGCAGAGGTATTGTGGCAAAATAAATATGTTTGTTTTGCTCGCAATTTGTACGCCCGCGCCCGCTCCCTTGAAGAACATCTCGGGGGAGGACCGGCAAGAGACCCTACTGAAGAAAGGATCATTGTTTGCAATGTTACCTTCAGTTGAGGAGTTTTATTATTACTAAGAAATTTAACTAAAAGAAGTCTTATTATAATGACACTGAAAGTTTACTTTGCATGAAAATGTTCCCAAGTCAAACCACCGTAAGCCATTCGTTGCGGTACAGTGAAATATTACAATGATCTATCCATGTATACGCGAATGCAAAGAATTATAATATGTTTCCGTAGAAGAGGAAATGCCTCAAGTTATGCCCAAGCCCAAGTTACCGGCTACATCCTACGTACTAAGCCCACGCGGGTTATTATTTCCATTGCTTACAATGTTTTGCGCAAAAGATTAGTATCCCGAGGCTCTCCGAGCTTGTCTCTGTAGTCTCCTTGATCCAATCATAAACATTTAAATAAAGGAATAAAATAATAATCCTGTTATTCTTACGTCAATGTCTGTTCGTATTTTATTTTCATTAGCGAACTGCCTTTGTTGTCCTATTTACTTAACATCCAGTCATAGTATCCAAACGTTACCCAGATGAAATTGAAATACGATAAAATACAAAGAAACGTGTTTTACAGATTTGTATGAGTTTGGTAATAGATTTCGGGGCATAAGTTTCAATTCAACGACTGGATAAACTTGAAACGTTTGCGTTTGAGCAAAATACAAAAAGTCCCTCAGTGTTTGTATTTCGCAGCGAATATTATAATTTATTCACGTAGTAAACGTCTCGCTCTAAGCTGGATAAAGGAATAGTTTCGCTAAACAAATACAGCATGTATTCTCAAAGGATTGTGCCCGGGGTTTACAAAAAGAGCGCTGTGAAACGTCTCAAAACAAAGGCGTTCTTTGTATCTTATATTATATTACATTAAATTAAACGATTAAACCACTTTACGTGTTATCAGCTAAAACCGTTTACGTGCAATAAAATTCTACTTAGTCTAAGTACAATTTTAATTAAAACTTAATTTACCTGAAGAATAATGTTCATAAACGTGAAACCCGTGCGTGAAAACAACCTTGGAAACAATAACAAGTTAGTTATATCAAACTCGATTACATAAGGCGAAATAGATGCTTCCTAAAAGATATAGTAGTTTCATTTATTTATTGATACGATCCAAGTTTGATAACGCGCTCTTATATTATTCTACAATTTGCCGATATACTTGCTGATAACGATAAAGCTTATCACTAAGCAAGTACTGATATCTGTAAGACCTGTAGATAAGTCATTAGTTATAATTACTAAGTTACAACTGTAATTCTGATTGAACACCAAAAAGAAACAATCCTAAATTGATTTGAGCTGTAGTACTAGATGTTTTAAAGGTCCTAGGTTCCTTCGTTAGGTAAAATGTTTCAGATCG